AAACAGCTCTCATTATCTTGACATTTGATAGTAACTAACTGAGTGGGGAAGAAGACAAATCAAGATGAAGAACACTACTGGCACAGCTTCATCACTGTGATAAAATCTGGGATTTTGTTTTCACACAATTGGCTACTAGCAGCCATCCATGGAATTCTAGGTGTGATATAAAGCACTCACAGGTACAAATCTAACCACTCCAAGGACAATGACCCTAAAGTCATCTCCAACTTCACATGATACACCAATTCATGTTACGTCCTGAAAGAAAGTAAGTTTGGATTTTTCAGATGGACACACACGCACACAATAGATGGATTTATAGGAGTTCAAGCCAACCTGTACTTTCAGGCCACCATCACCTTTCGCAAAGTAAAGCCAGAAATATTAGTGCCACCCAAGGCTGCTATAAAGCTTCCGTCTGATGCATGCTTTCTAAAGACGCGTGTTTGGATTTCGTTGATAAATAATTTATAAATCAGTGTCTTTATAAATATCTTCTTTGATTTGTGAAATTTGATTTTGCATGTCGTGAATTTTCTGCAACTCAATTTTTCTGAACTTTTACTTTAAAAAGTGAAGGCCAGAAAAAAAATAATTCCTTACACACTCGTTGGAAGTTTAAAATGGGATTTATTCTACCTATATTGTAACGAGTATTCTGGCCCATATTGCAAGGGTAGGAATATAACATGTGGTTTTTTTGAAATGGAAAGCTTGCGGACTCACACTTAAAAATCTAGGAAATTGATAAGTTATATAATTAAACTAAAACCTATGTAAAAGTCCCACATATATAATAAAATTGACTTTAATAATTAATATATAATAAAGAAAAGAGACTTGTGAATTTGAGTATTGGAGTTTTGGGTTAAAATATATCATTCTTCCACTGTTCTCATCCATTTGTTCTTTTTCCCCTTTCCAAGTGATGGCTCCCCACTCTTAATAGGTAGGAAACAAGACAGGAGGGAATTAAATTAGCCTCTTTTTTTTCTTGCTTCTAATCCCTTGTGGTGCTTGGATCTGCTTGAGGACCATTCAAACACGCACAACAGAAAGAAAGTGGGACACACTCATCAGAATAAACTATCATTTTTCTTGCATATTGGATTTTGATTTGAAGTGCGATCTTTTTGCTTTGTCTAAAGTTGTTGGTAGGATTCAGTGAAACTCCTCATGATTTTAGGAATAAGAAGTGTCTCGAGAAATTAAAGATCCCACTTAATCATGCTCGAATCTTTGTTTACTAATAACTATTCTTCAACAAATCTCATGGTGAATTTTCTAGGGTTATAAAATAAACGAATTATTAAAAGAGAGATGGGAAAAGAGAAAAGAAAGAAAGAAGAGATCCCACTTGATCATGCATTAAAAGCAGTCAAGTAAAGAGGGAGAAATGAATGATTAAGTTCTTAGAAAACATATGAGAAGCATGTTTACGTCCTTAAAGACATGATTATGAACTAGTATTGGCAAGAGCTAATCATTTCTCCAATTCCTGATTTTTTGTTTAATTTCCTAAAACCTTCCTTGATTCCAATACCGTTGCTTTCCAGAGATATTCAAATTCAAGTCCCAATTGTAGGTTACCGTCTTTCATATTATATTATATATATAGTCTCTAATATTTTTCAAGCGCAGGCAAATTAATGAAACCTACCATTGGAGATTATATAGCTATATAAATCATAATATGAACTCCTCATTCTAATTACAAAGAGCTTAAACTAAATGACAATTGATGATTAATTCACTTGATCCATCTTCTTAAATAAAAGTTCGGATTAGCATCAATATCTTTACATCAATTTTTTGCAGGATTGACTGATTGAAGTATAATAAATCTAATGACAATAATATTATAAATAAGTTAAATAATATATGTTTCCGCGTCTTGTTCATAAGGAACTGAAGTTATAGTCAAGCCAGAATTATATCTATATATATAGCGTTAATTAGTTGCCTAAAATAACTTATTTCTACTTTATCCCATTCAGTGACCCAAGAATGCAATTCAACAAACGTGAAAAGAAAATATAGTATCGTGCACTAGCGTATTTGAAAAACTGTGAGATTAGTTAAAAATAAATGATTTTACTTTTTGGTGAATCCCTCTATATACTGTGCCTTGTGGGTGTCATCATGATGACGGGAAGGAAAGATTTGGAGTGTTAGGGAGCTATTCATTAGGATTTGAACCATAATTAATTGGTATGATTATACGTAATATTTTGCCATAATTTGTACCCATATTGATATAATATCTGCTGCTATCAGTAAGTAATGATAGGGAAGCCAACAAACTGCCTGTGGACGACAGAAATATAATTGGATGGCTGCAACTTGAAAGTTCCAAACAAACATAAACAAACCGAGTGAGTTTTACTTTAACAACAACAACAACAATAATATATACCATTGCCTCTGCCCCAAAAAATGTTATCTACTCGTGTCCATGCGACACTTGTGATTGGCATACATCTCTTTTTCTTCCTATTGTCCAAATTAACCTTATGATGATGACTCAACTATTTTAATTTCATGACTTCTTATTATTGGAAAGAATAAGATGCATGGGCGGCAATTGTCAAAAGTAAAATTTCACTTTCTCTTTATTATTTTCTTTCACCCTTCTTTATCCAAAAGTGAAGAATGAAATTAATCATGTAATATAATTATCCAATATCCAACACTATTAAACTAGACACAGACATTATTAGACCCAATTAATAGTAAGTTTTTTTAAAATATTTAAGGTTCAAATCCTTGGCTTTATCGATCTAAAGGAAATCAAGTTCCTTGCCGTCAGTCCAACCACCGTGAATAAACCTTATATTAGATAAAAAGAAATCGTTAGACACAAAACTACGCATAGGCTTTTTCAAGTGTCTTCCTTTTCCGTGAATTAATTTTTATCAAGTCATTTTACAATAAGTTGGTACAAAAAGTTGATATAAAAATTCCTCAACCTAGGGGTAAAAAGCCTCATGGATCTAGCAGCTCAACAGCATTGTACATGGCCTGCACTACTAGGTTTTGCTCATTTATTAGGGTTGGGATCCAATGCTTCTCAGCATTTATTATGTTGGCATTCTTCTTGCTGCCGCTGCTAAGTTGATAATCTTACTTGTGCCAAATAATGATCTTAATTAGATTGATTAAACTTGATCTCCACAATTCAAGATTTATTTTAATTTGAATATAATCACTTTAATTTTTTTTTCATACGTCACTTCTAACATATTTTATTGTTATTAAAAAAAATTAAAACTCATTAGTCCTCTTTAAAAATTTGACAAATAGTTATATATGTATATATATTAATAATATGCTTTTTTTATTACATACGGGTGTCTTTCTATAGAAATAATTTTATTTTAAAATATAGTTAAGCGTTAAATATAAGCATTTTTTTATAAAATTCAAATATCAATTCATTACATTTTAAGGCACCCATCAATTTCATTAGAACCAATCATCAGTGGTTTGTAATATTTATTGGGGAGTAAAAGAGAAAACTTATCATGTCTCATAAATAGGATAAAAAAATTATTATCTCCTGAATTACAAGCAGTGACAATTGAATAGAAGAGATCAGATAACTGAATGTTGCACACTTGCATGATTTGTCCAATCTTGTTGTGTAGAGATTGTGACACATATTAGGCTAAGCCATCAAAGGAATGGATGTGTGAGGAGCATTACACAAGAAAAGCAAACAAATGGGCAGGCCAATTCTCAGGCAATGTACAAAAGTAGCTGCAGAGATTCAATTCTGAAAACTACAATGCCTGCCTCCATGGGGCACTGGTAGTTCCATCTCAATTATTGTCTCTCTCTTCATCATAAATACCCTCTCCGCCAGATAAGATCACCACCCACGCCACATACCATCTGGATTTTTTTTTTAATTTCTATTTTTCCTAAAAATAAACCAAACAAATATCTCTCCAACCCCATATGCTATGTACGGCTGCTTGCTTTCTCACGCACTATTGCTTCAATTTAAAGTTGTGCATATAGTTCATCACGTCATTCACATATTCCTCATAAACAGATCATGGGACGGTGAGAACACGGTTTCCTTTGGATTAAACAAAACTTTTCAACATGTGCTTCAGGCTTTGACCTGACAGAGGGAAATAAATAATAGTTATCATGTTTGATTAATCACGTAATGACAGAAAAGTGCCTCCTATTTTTTAATAATACCATCATTCATTCCCACCACACTCGAAACAGAAGCAGAAGCAGAAACAGAAACAGGAAGCCCTTTTTCTAGACCTTGAATTTCATGAATCTCGGATCTGTCGTCATACATGGAATACTATGCACATCGCTAGCAGCGAATCAGAACAAAGTTTGTGTGTGCATCAGCCAAAACCCACGACCAACAAATATATGTATTGAAGAAACAAAACAAAGTCAACTCGACACGTTGCTCTGAATTGTCCCCATCCCTCTCTCTCAGAACCCCCTTACAGACATAGCCAATGTGCATGGATTGTCCACGTTTTCGTCCTTTGAAGTTTACACCCGAAACAAAACATTGTATTATTATCGTTCCCATTAATTTTTCTTCACATAGAAAATTAAAATAAAAATATGAATGAATGAATAACACGCGAGAAAAGGAAATTCAAAGTCAAAATGCATGAAACCTAACCCAACCCAACAAGGAAGTAGGAAGCAAGCCACAGCCCGGCTGGTATAAACAGTATCTCCACTGTGGTCCACTCTTGAACCATCGCACTATTCATCCAACGGTTAATAATAGATAATGCAAAAACCAAAACAACGAGGATAAAGAAGAATAAAAAAATCGATACGTCAAATTCAGGAACGTCCATCTCTGTTCACACACGTAGCTGAGTGATGCGTGTGTATATATGTATATCGTTCTAAATTGAAAAAAAAAAAAAACAATCAGATAATTAAGAAACGGAATAAAATAAAAACTATAGGACTCTTTGCTTGAGAAGATACCTCTCCATATTGAAAAAGATCCCCTTGCCCCGGAATCTATCCCCCCTAAAGAAAAATAATTTCACAGTCCAAAACTTGCCATTTCTCTCTGTCTCTGCAAATCCACTCTGTTTCTTAGTTTATAGTAATCCCACTATCCATGATCCAATATAATCACAAACTTTCGTGAAATATATATATATATATATATATAAATACAAAGCCTGGAAAATCAATTCGTGCTCCAGGATTTGGATTTCACAGAGATGGAGGCGTCACCACCACTCCCAGTGGACTCTCGTCCCAAGCCTGTGTCTCGCCTCAACTCTTACGTGGCGAATAGCAGAATAGGCAAACGGTTCAGGCTCTCCGAGCGCAACACCACCTTCACCACTGAGCTGCGGGCCGGCACCGCCACCTTCCTTACCATGGCTTACATCTTAGCCGTCAACGCTTCCATCCTTACCGACTCTGGCGGTACTTGCTCTGTTTCCGATTGCGTCCCTCTCTGTTCGGACCCCACCATCTCTGTTTCGAACTGCACTGGGTCGTCTCTCCGCGTCATTCAGCCTGATAGTTCCTGTAAATTTGACCCGGTGAATCCGGGTTACGCCGCCTGCCTTGAGAAAACTCGCAAAGACTTGATCGTCGCCACCGCCGCTTCCTCCTTCATTGGCTGCATCATAATGGGTGCTTTCGCTAACCTTCCTTTGGGTCTCGCACCAGGTATGGGCACCAACGCTTATTTCGCATATACCGTGGTTGGCTTTCACGGGTCGGGTAATATCTCCTACCAGAGTGCCCTCGCCGCCGTCTTCATCGAAGGCTTGATCTTCTTGCTCATCTCCGCAGTCGGGTTGCGTGCCAGACTCGCTAAACTCGTGCCCAAACCCGTCCGGATCAGCTCCTCCGCCGGAATCGGACTCTTCCTCGCATTCATCGGGTTTCAGAACAATCAAGGAATCGGCTTAATCGGGTACAGCCCGTCTACCCTTCTCACCCTCGGTGGCTGCCCCGATTCCTCCCGGGCTTCCCTCGCACCGGTCATAACCGCCGGTAATGGCACCATTAGCTTGCTCCCGGGTGGGACCGTCTCTGGCGATATCCTATGCCTGCGAGATAGAATGGAAAGCCCGACATTATGGCTCGGTGTGGTGGGCTTCATTATCATCGCTTACTGTCTGGTGAAAAACATCAAGGGCGCAATGATCTACGGCATCTTGTTCGTCACCGCCGTGTCGTGGTTCCGCAACACAAAAGTCACGGCGTTCCCGAACACTGTCTCCGGCAACTCGGCCCACGAGTATTTCAAGAAAGTGGTGGACGTGCACACTATAAAGAGCACAGCCGGTGCGTTGAGCTTCAAGGATATAGGCAAAGGGTATTTCTGGGAAGCTCTAGTGACCTTCCTCTACGTAGATATTCTCGACACGACGGGCACGCTGTATTCCATGGCCCGATTCGCCGGCTTCTCGGACGAGAAAGGGGGCTTCGAGGGTCAGTACTTCGCCTTCATGTCGGACGCCACGTCGATCGTGGTGGGGTCCCTGCTGGGCACGTCACCAGTAACGGCGTTCATAGAGTCGTCAACGGGGATACGCGAAGGAGGCAGGACGGGGATAACAGCCCTGACAGTGGCGGCGTATTTCTTCATGGCCCTGTTCTTCACACCGTTGCTAGCGTCGATACCGGCGTGGGCGGTGGGGCCGCCGCTGATCCTGGTGGGGGTGCTGATGATGAGGTCGGTGGTGGAGATCAAATGGGACGACATGAAGCAGGCGATACCAGCGTTCATGACGTTGATTCTGATGCCGCTGACGTATTCAATAGCCTATGGACTGATCGGAGGGATTGGGACGTTCATGGTGCTGAACCTGTGGGACTGGGGAGAAGAAGTTTTGAGGAAGATGGGCGTCCTGAAAAGTAGGGAAGCCTCCTCTGCTTCTGGGGTCGTAGCCACCAATGGGCTTCATCAACATAGTCATCATCTTCCTCATAATGATGCTGTCCCAAAGGCATTACAGGTACAGGTTTAGGGCAGTGCCCTACGACGACGACGACAACATTGTGTACCTTTTTCTTTCTTTGTTTCTTAAATTGTTGGCTCATGCATAAATTTCACCCACATTTTATTTTGATTTTCTTTTTCTTTTTCTTTTTCTTGCCCCCTTTGGTTAGGAGTGTAAGTAAATATGGATACTTCTTTTTTTGGGCCAAAAACTGTTCATCAAGTTCTAGCTGGCAAAAGATGGGGAAAATTAATATATACATTTCAAACTCTATAGAAGTCAAAATTACGTTGTTTTTTTCATATGATTAGGCCTTGCTGTTTGAATTATCTATTCATAACTACTTACTACACCAACTTTGAATAGAAAATTACCTTAGGAAACTAGGTAGTAGGTAGGGTTTAGGCCAGATTGACATTACTTTTTTTTTAATTTACTTTCCGCTCCCCATTTTAATGATTAGATCATATTTTGAATGGTAAAAATTTAATGTCTTAGAAATTATTATTAAAATATACAATTGTGAAAATAAATAATTTTAAGCTACTAAAACTGGATACGAACAACTCAAAACTAGGGTGGAAAAAGTTTTTAAAAAATTATCATGTAAAAGATTATATTTAGATTATATATTCAAGATTTGTTCTAATGGCTGTAATATATACAATGAAAAGTAAGCGGAGGGATGCCAACACGCACGTAGCTTAACTAGCTAGTAAGGATTTGCATTAGCTTAACCAGTAATTTTAAGTACTAATATGATCCTACTGTCCATAAATAATAAATAATTGTATAAAAAAAATAAGTGGAGGGACTTGTATGGAAAGAACCTGACTTCAATTTTTTTTTTTTTAATAAAAACCTGACTCCAAAATTTTACTTGTGGAAGACCTTCGCAATCTTCCTTCTTACTTTGTAAAGTAGTTGTTTTCTTACTTTCTTCGTTTATTAAAAAAGGATAGAATTCAACAAAATAGCTATGCTATTTCATCCGAGCGGTACGGTTGTCTATAGATTTGATATTTGGTATTGATATGATTCAATCTTTATATTCAATCAGATTTTAAATATATAAATTATACATTTTACGAAGTATATTATTACCATAAAAAATTATATAGCTTTTTCAAAAATCTAAATTAGAAAAGTCGGATGGCTACAAATAAATTTGTGATATCAGTAGTTCAGATCTAGAACATTCAAAATTTTAAAAGTTGTACCTCAAGGCATATATTCTTTCTTAAAATATTTTTTTAAAAAAATTTACATTTTAAGGCTCGTTTATATTTAAATAATTTCAGAAGTAATTTTTTTAATAAAAATTCCCTTGAAATCTATTAATAACTTTAACTCTGAAAATAATTATAAATGTTAATATTTTTTTAATCTAGGTTTTCTAAAATTTTGACATGTTAGATAATTTTATGCTTTGAATTTGCATGGAAGCCTTGCGTCAAGGACTCACCTAAATTACTTCATAAGTATGCTTATATTCAAAGTTGTCGCCATCATCATATTGGCTTAGAAAATGTGCCAACTTGTTCACAAGTTTTGAGCCTCCATCATCGTTTTCCATAAATTACTCAAAACAACTTATTGGGATATTTATTTGGAGTTGGTTTCTTTCCTCTTATTTTATACATTTGATCAACTTCTGCGGCATCATTGCCTCTCAAGATCATAAAATCCGGATTTATAAATTAAATAAAAATTCTAGTGTCCATCGCTTCAGAAGAGAAACACAAGGACCTATAACTTTTAAATGCCTCAGGTCAGGAAAAATATTATTAAATGAAGGGATTAAGGTCATTTTTATCTTTAAATTATACATAAAAGGTCATAAATGCTTACAAATTCAATTGTAAGTCAATTTTATTTCTTAATTTTAAAGCTTTCGTTTTTTATTACCTTGCTATTTTCTCACTGTTAACTAACTATTAGTGAGCTCTACATTATAATTTTTAATATAAAATATTTGAGTTGGGAGGCAACAATAACCATTAACCTAATAAAAAAATATTAAAAAATAGTCTGACTCACTTATGATTAATGAATGTTAAGTGTTTTTAATGTTAGGGTGATGACAAAAAAAATAAAATAAAATTAAGAGACAGAATAGATCCATGATCGAGTTTATGAGCATTTATGATTTTTCATGTGCAGTTAAAAAATAAAAATAACTCTTAACGTAGATGTAATAGTTAATAATTTCTCAACTTCTATCAAAGCCTTGGAATTCTCCGAAGATGACATCAAAGGAAAATGACATTTAGAAGCAATTAATTATTCAAAGCCCTCCATTTTTCTTCAATTATTTTGACGTCGATCGCGACATGCATAGGGATGGTTATGTTAACGCCAAAAAACAAGAAGAAGAAGGAGAATGGTTATATCCCGACGTTATTTGAATCTCGCAACTAATGCAATTTCCAACATGACGTGTGAATCAATCTTAATCACACTAAAACAAACAAACACGCGTGTTGGTGTGTGTCCACATTTTATCATATAGCTAAGCAGATGAGAACATTACTAGGAATTATCGGAATAATTATTATTCATAATAGTCTAATTTGATAGAATTTGTATATTAATATTCTATATTAATTTTTTAAAATTATATATATGGCTGGTATTTATATGATGTATGAATAAATATAGGATAAATGGGCAAATATTTGGCTAGCATATATTTGACAAGGGTCAGATAGTACTGTTTTTAAAAATTAAAAAAATAACTTGTATAATAAATTAGTTTAAAGTTTATAGTGTCACTAAACTTAAAGAAGGTAATTTGCTCATTTACTTATAAATATAAAGACCTTTAAATTTACCAGAATTATAGCCTTCACTTTGACGTAATTTTTAACTTTCGTTGAATATTCTATTAAAGATTTTATAATTTCTTTTATTAATAAAACTTTACATTAAAATAATTTAACATTCCAAAATCCTTAAAAACACATCCTTAACAAGTTTTTTTTTAAACAATGCGAGCAAATAATTTATAGCTAAGAGGCTATACTAGTTTAACTAATAATCTTAGTTTAAAACACTGGCTTCAGTATAATTTTTCGGATATATAATGACTAATAGCTCGCGCATAACAAAAGAAAATTTCAAAAAAGTAAACCTCAACCTTAAGGAGGGATTAATCACAAGTAATAATATTAATTATTCACATGTTAATAAATGTAATATCGATTCACTTTATTTGGCCAAAATAAAAGAAATATACTCCATCCGTTCAAAAATATAAAGCATTATTTGAAGAGTTAGATGTTCAAAAATATAAGGTATTTTTAGTCTTTCAAGGTGTAATCATTCCCTTCTTTTAATAGTGCCTTATTGACAATGACCTTATATTTATTGTAAAGTATTTAATAGAGGTGAATATAAAAAACTAATACTAGTTTGAAAGTAGATAACTACTTTATTAGAGGGTGAGATTCGATTAAAAATGCCTTACATTTTTTAACGGAGGGAATATTATTTTTTCCTCATTTTATTATTTTATATAAAATATAAAATTTTATTTCTTTTATAAAAAAACAAACTTTGCATGAATTTACAGATATCAATTTTAGAGAATTTAAATTCATATTTTTTTATATATGCAAATATTTTTGTGGAGGTGGGAGACTAGATGGAAGGGAAAAAGTTATAGTTCAGTTTATTTTAACCGTGGAGACGATTGGGTAAAAATTAAACGAATAACTCACTCAGACCAAGCTAGTGAGATCAAATGTAATGATAGACTGTTAGATTAAAATTAATGATTTAAATTGAATAATTTTTAAAGATACAGATTAGGTTGCAATGTAAAAACTCTACCCAAACAGTAAATTATTATAGTAAAAGTGATGAAAAGTAACAGAGGGCAAACAAACCGAAGCCCTTCTCTGTCAGTCCACTAAAATTCTGTGTGTCGTCATTCAAGTGAAGCTGCCTGCTGCTTCTTTTCCGGAGGTAAAACCATGACTTCATTTAGAAAGCCTTCAAATTGATTGAAATACTAATCTTATCAAGATTAATTTATATACTGATTTTATGAAAGCTCTCTCTTTTGTTCAACATAACTTTTCCAAAAGCCATCTTCTAATAGCAACTATCAAGAAAATAAGGGAGCTTACTATGAGAAATTAGACGGTTATTTTTTATCATATTTTCAAATAGGCAAACAAATGTGTTGATTTGCTCGCACAAGAAACTTCGCATGATAAATATGATCTTTCTATTTATAACGTTTGCCTATGAGATGTAGGAACATATTGAACTCTGATGTGTCTTGACTTTTGTAACCCTAACACGGTCTTGACCATGTCTTTTCATTCAAAAAAAAAAAACCATGACTTACCGAAAAACTCATTTACAATAAAGTTTATATAAATTTCAAGCTTCTAAACTTAAATGTAGAAAATAGTTAAAGCCCTTGTTTTAATTTGGTCTTACATGTAGGACTTCAGTTTTTCCCATTCTTCCAAATTTATACTCTTTTTGCTGAGTATCATAACTCATAAAACATTTTTTAAAAGTATCATATTCAAAATTTAGGTATTCTAATTATATGTAATTAATAATTTTTTTGCAAAATTACTCATCTAATCTTATTTGTAAGTTACTTTCAACATGTTTCATCAGAAAAAAAATTTAAAACTTAGTAATTTTATCTTAAAATTTAATAAAATCTCATTTTTACTCCTATTAAATATGCATACTTTAACAATAAATTTATTCTCTCCAACATTCAATGGAGAGTAAAAGAGAAAACTTGTGTTGAAAATTTAATAAGGTGCCCTATAAATGGAACTAAAAAATTTTTCTCACTTTATCCTATAAATAGGACTAGAGGGAGTATTCATTAATCAGAGAGCATAATTAATAAGGTTTTTCAATTGACTAATTTTTTGAAAGCATAATTTGATAAGAAAAAATGTCTGATAATATTGAACAGAGTAATTTTTTCTCAATGATTTTTCTTGATTGCACATATTAAAATGAGGATTTCATGAGAGGAGTAGCTTTCAAAGTTAATGATGAACATTTTAGTAAAACTAACGCACTCAACTCAAATCCAATCAAATTAGACTATACTCTTCCTCCTCTCTGTGTGTGTGTGTAAATTTTTAAATGTATATATGGTATATAAGATTCAAGTCAAAATGGGAGAATCACACTTTGGAATATTAAGGATATTAATATGGAAATGGCTGACTTTCATACGGCAAAAACCAAAACTTCAACTAAATTCAATCGAAAACGATGCTTCATTGTAACCAGTCTCCTTGCAAATTTTCTTGTCCAAAAAGAAAAATCCCCTTACAAATTTTCAATTATAATTCTCCCAATCAAAGAAGAAAGGCGTTTTTGCCCCTTCCTAACATCAATATACCACTATTATAAACCATATCTAATTATCTCACTGTAATTAATAAAAGATGATTAAGTCATTAATTTTGTCTGAAAATAAAAAAATATTTCACATGTATTTAAATGAAAATTTTGATATTTACATTCCATTATTTTCCATAGTTAATAACTTTAAATAAAGATAATATTAAAAAATTTAATTAATATCTCATCAAGTAACTTATAAATTATAATAAGGATTATAAAATAGATAAAAAATTATACTTTTCACAAAACATATTGTAATATAATTGCATCAATTATTATTATTTTTTTGTTGAAACGGATCTATTATTACTATCATTTTTATTATATTCTAACCTTGTAAATTGTCGATTCTCAAAGTTTGCTCTTTAGATGACAAATTCTATGTGGTTACTTTATATTGTTCATGTATTCAATAATATATGTTGTTTACATATTTTTCAATTTTTACTATACCAATTTGATATTTGTAAATATCTTGGAAACTAAAAAGTTAAGCATTATTAGATGGTTTTATTTATCTTCTAAATGTTAGAACATATAAATATGAAGTGATATATAAGCTCAACATTCTGCCATATCATTCGAGTATTGCATATTTTTACATGCATGTTTATCATCAGCCCTGAAATCAAAAAATTTATTTTCTATAAGAAGAAATTTAAATTTTAGTAATTATGGGATCTCTGGTTGAATTGGGTAACTAACACCTCAGCTTTAGGTGAACTACGCATATCATGATTAAAACTAATACCAGAAGTCAGAGAGTCCACATGACCACTCTCATCTCATGAAATGAGAATTGACATTTTTGGCATCATAATATCTTCAATTTAAACCACTTAATTATAGCAAATCTGAACTTCATTTCAAAGATGTGACTAGCTAAATTTTAGCTCACTTGATGATTAATTAAGATAATGACGGTGTGAAGGGTAGACTATCATAATCCACGATCGATTAACTTGTGGCCCCTATAAATTAATTCTAGGACAATAATGAAAATTAAAAATATTATGATTATGATTATTATTAATTAATTCATGGAGAATGATATATATATCTTTTCCAATTATGCGGGGGGACCCTGGGAAGTCAGAGCTTGTCAAGTTCCTTCTCTATCAAATGACACTCAGGAGCACCCTTACAAGTGGAAGAAAACGAAAATGTGAACAGAATGTGGAATATATAAAAAAATATCTAGACTTAACTAGAAACCAAAAATGACAACATAAACGAATAAACAATGATGGGATATTTGACTCAATAATAAAAATAAAAACTTGTTAAATTATAACAGAATCATAACAAATATTATTATATAAACTGGATTCATTTATTAGGTTGAACGGAATGAATTTGATTTTCCTACTATATTTTCTTCTTGTTTTTTTAGTCTGAGTGTTTAAACCAATTCTAATAATCTATATTTATTTATTTTAAATTTTAACAAATCAATAACATATTTATAAAGCATTAATATCTAAATCATCACACATATATACACATATGAGTTTGTGAAGACTGAAAGAGGAGAGGAAACCAAAGCACTTGGAGGGAAAATGAAGGCGTGCACTAGAAACTCACAAAATGAAGGCGTGCAGCATGAGAAGCAATTCTTTTGGACCAAATAATTGGGCACTGATATAACGCCGATATCTTTGCCTTCCCCTGAAAACATTCACATGATAACTCTCGTGCAGTGTGACGCCGGTTAAAAAAAAAAAAAAGATGAAAAGACAGACTTTAGTGGGGGCCAATAAATTAATTTAAGCACAAAAAAAAAAAAAAGAGCTAAGCAATAAAGACCATCCATGCAGGTGAGGTGAATGGGATTCTGTGACCAAAGAAAAACACAAAGAGGCTTGACATTAGGCAACACAAATGATAAGAAAGAAAGAAAGAAAGAAAAGGGTGAGAGCATAATTCTCGTTGTCATGAGGCTGATTATTGATGTTTTGGAACTGATTTAGTGTTTTAGGCTCATCAAATTGTCGCTCACTGTCTGTGTGTGACTGACATTAGCAGAGCCTGAACGCAGAAGGAAAGGAAATTAACAATTAAAATCATAAAAAGGGAGGAATTTGGAGGGAACATATTCGACGTTGGTTAGTTGGTGATGTCAAATGCAAATGAGGGATTTGCATGAGGAGTATGTGTGTGCACGCGTCGCTTCCTCATTCAACCACGAAAGCCCCACTTTGTACGCACAGTTGGGTGTTTTAGGGGATGGCTTCTTTGTTGCTTTGAGCGACACCTCCTGCGATTCTTTATCTGAAATGACACCACCACTTCTTACACACGCCATGCTTCTTATTATTTACAACACAACATGTTGGGATCATAAGTAACACGGACTGATTTAGTAAAAGAGATCATTTTCTTACAACATAATGAATCAATGTTTAAATTTCAGTTGGGCCGGCTATATCTCGAATTGAATTATATCCAATAAACTGACACCTGAACAGGATTTTTTTTTTTTAAAAAAAAAACATGCTAGATCATGTCACTTTTTAAATTTGACAATAATCCTTTTTCTTCTCAGCAAGTCTTTCTAGCTTAGGGACAATAACATTATATTAGTAATACATTTCAAATGTTAAACACGACTAGAGTGAAAATAGGAGTTAGAAGCAGCAGAAATGTGGGTTTCTTTTCATATCTTTTGCTACATGAACTTCCATGTCAGTGTTATCTAGTAGGTGATAACGATAAAGAAAGTAGCTTCAGAGTCACTTTAAAATGTGGCAATTCTTTCTGCTGAGTGCTTCGACGTAGACCTTCTTCTTCAAGTGCTATGCATAATTGCTCTTTCCTTTTCTCTTTCCCTCGCCTTTTTTAATGGATAAACTATCATTCGCCCGGTAACAAGTAAGATTGAAAAGGATGTTTAGTAACAAATATGATGACGACCTGAGGAAGAACAGAGGCATTACCGCTGGCACCAAGTAGCCCGCGCCTTTTAGTAGCACAATGGTACAAATTTCAATTCAAGAGTGGGGCAAGGTACAAAGCTTTTCGAGGCTCTTAATGCTTGCTTACCTGTCACTATATCCATGAGAGAGACAGACAGTGGGATTAGGAATCCTATCCCCCTCCATATACATTACACACGTTCATATCATGGATTCCTCTGTTTGCTTTCATTCCTCACAAATATCTTACTCAAACAGTAGGAGATAGTTTATTCATTCAGCTCTTGGGTGCCAACACAAACTAACTACAGATAAAGAAAGAATTGTTGTAATGTAGTCTTGACAGTCCCCAGAAAGAAGGACCTGCTTGACAAAACAAAGTCTACTTGTTCTTGGGGAAAAAATTTATCTTAATAATGTTCCGCTGTAACCTAAACGACATTATAGAGAACACTCTAGCTTAGAATGCTCTCAACTCCCAATTTCTTTTTTTTACCAGAAGGTCTATAGTAAACTAAAGGGACAAAAAGCCATAGCTTGATCTATCAGCACAAATTATATCAGTGTCACTAAAAGTTTTGATAATAATTTGCTTTTTTATGCCAAATCAATAATAACAATGTGATTCAATAATTGCCATGCTGCAATTGTAGGATCTTCGCTAATCATTAATCAGTTAAAATTGTACATGATTGACAAGCTACAGGCTTCTCTATATGTCAAGAGTCAATGACAGAATAGCAGGGAGATTCTTTGATCAAGTTCCGAAGCCAATATCAATTTTTGACGTATGAATAAAAAATCGGAAATATATTAGATTTCTTTTGTCCATTACTCCTCATACTTCTGGACTCCTTCGGATACCAACACCTGGCCTGCAGTGAGATGCCTTGAAGCTGAAGTGCTTTTATTAATTAATAGGACATTCGAAAATATATCCGCCTTGGAAAGGATGTTAAATCAATAATTATATTTACGGTACACTCAATCTAACCCAAAATCTGCCCTGGTTTCCTGGTGGAGATCCTTCTCAATTGAAAAGGCAAAAACTCAAAAGTGCGTACATGAAAAAGCCAATCTTAATCACATGGAGGGCGAGATACTTGCAGGGATACCAAGCACTTCCTTTTGCAGCCATAGTCAACTTTCACATTTTATACATCTGTAACAATCAAGGATCAAAGAGTATGCACAAATTAACTTTGATAGCAAGACTTTTCAACTATCTAAACAATCATCACATGCATCATGATTAAAGTATTGCACATAGAATTCAATGGTTATGAATATAGCAGCAACTGTAGATGTAAACCTCAAGAATTCTATGAAGTGGAGGAAATCTGGGGCTTTGCAAGCTGTTCTTGCCGACGACCCAGATAAAATGCTGTGACTATCCACAATGAACACAACTGGAGACCAAGTGAGGAAAAAGAGAATCAGGAATAAGCTATTGAAAATTAAAAAGTCATGGGTGTTTACAACTTGAGAGCATTCACATAACAAAGAAAGCCAAATCAATCAGGAAACCTGAAAATCAAGTTAATTATCGCTATAAAAAATAATCAAAAAGAAAGGAAGTCTTACGTTGTGTTGATCCACACAATCCCAGGTAAGTAGATCAAGTTAAACAAATGTAAACAAGTTAGAGCAAAGCCAAAATCCGATGTTATCAACCTTGGCTCATTTGACAAACAAGTTGTTTTGAGCTTGGATTGGGAAATTAAACAAGCTAAAAAATGTGATCAAGTTAGGCTAGCTCTGTCAAATGAGAACTCAGACTTGACTCCCATAAGCATGCTTAAAGATTATACATAAATGAACCGTATGAACTTGTACATTTTCATGATACTTTAAAAAAATTTATATTTATGATTTATAAAACATAGAATATTTATGACATATATAAATATATAATATTGGAATTATTATATTATTTTATTTTTAACCAACTATATGTGAAATAAATGATCCATGCATCAAAATTTCAAGCTCAAACTATTTAATTTGACAAGCTTAATATTGTGCTCAATTTCATTCATTTAATAAAAGAACTTCACTGAAACACAATTTTTGTACAAGCCGAGCCTGAACAATTCACGTATAGCTCAATTCATTTTTAGCTCTACGTCAAGCCTAGATGTAAACATGTCAAGAACGAGTTTCAGCGGCATATTTAAATGTCTCTCCATTGACGTGATCTATTTTTTTCCCACTTTTTTTGGCAGACCAATTCTATCTATAATCATGTCAAGTATTAGAGAGAAGGCATACAGAAGGATAAGATTACACATACAGGCAGGGCATAAAGGGAAATGGCCGATGTTTTCCCTTCAACAGTTCCAAGAATCAGCTTGTATATTCCAGCTGCTGCAGCATCTCCAAGTCTTTGAACAACCACATCTATGCATACCTGCACCAGCGTGTACTCATTGAAGTGCTTCCTTGACAAACTTGGCCATTGAATTCTTCATTCATGCCACATAAATTTAAGCATGCAATGGAAAAAAAAATTGTCCCAGCAATAGCCATTTTTTGGCTTTTAAAAGAATTAAAATATAATAAATAACAGGTCCTACAAGCTGAGAACATGTCCACCCAAGATACCCACTTTATACTGCTGTGGGAGGGAAAACAAGATGGAAAGAGAAGAGAAAGTTATACTTTTGCTTTGTATTTCTCATCCTGTGAAACTACAGTAAATAGAAGTTCTCTAGCAGGCCTCGTCACAACATATGAAACAACCTGCAAAATTATAGATACATGAATATTTAACCAGATAAACACAAGTTGGACAGATGATCAGTTTATCTAACGAATGGCCAGTTTCCAACACGTAATATTAGTCACTAAATATCCTGAAGATGAATGAAATGTGTAACACATCACAATATCATCAACAAACATAAAAAAATGGAAAGAAGAAATGTCCGGCAGTACCTTTCTAAGTGTCTCACAAATAGCAACAATTACCCAAGTTGGCCAGACAACTAGAGCAACCAGGTTTAAAAAACCGACAGAAGGAGCAGAACAAATAGCTATAGTCACCCCAGCAACAGTTAGAATGCGTCCCTGTACTAGATAAAGGGAAACATACATAGAGTCAAGTAAGAAATGATTAATGAAGCAAATAAAAATGCAACAATTCTTTCTGTTTGAAAAATGGTAAGATCTGAACTCCACTCTAAAAGGATATTTGACGCCAAGCAAAAGTCATTTTCAGAATACCTTACCGTTAATGTTAATTGTCCAACAAGGATAAAAACAGCAATAAAGCTATTTATTTGGGCAAACAATCTTCTTCTCCCAATAGAGGTGGTAACTGTTGCAGCAATCACTGTCACTTTCTGTAATTGCAGAGAAGGGAAAAGTTCAGCAGAGACGTGATATGAAGCGTGTGTGGCCTAATAAAAAACTCAATGGCAGTCCACAAAATACATTTGCTCTTCTATCATACAGCTTAACCCAAATGAGGATCATGAAAACCAAAGCTGAGATAACATGGCAGACTATCTTACCTGAAAATAGAAAAATGAAGAGATAACTGCACTCAGCCAGAGGAATAAAGACACATGCAACAGATAAGTTGATGACAGTATAAGCCAGAGGCCATCCAAGAGGGCCCAAATTTGTAGCTTCACTACAGAAGTAGATGACTTAGGGGAACTTCTGGTTGCATGTTCACTCTTCTCATGAGCCTCATTTTTCTGGTCAGGATCAGCTTCTCTAAATCAAAATAATTATTAAATTACAATCACAATCCTATAGTTTTGATACATTATATTTGTGATAAAATGACATTATGCCTTAGAATTAAATCTAAATATGTTAAGTGGCATAAACAATCAATTACATTTGGAAATAGAATTCTCTTGGAAGAACATAAAAAAATATTAGCAGCCAAATAATATGTAACAAAAGCTTACAATTTGATAGGTTTACAATTGACCAAGACACTGCATAGTTCCAGTAAAAGTAATTTCCAAACTTCACTCCATTTTGATTGTTAGAAACCCAGAGAAATTATTATACAGGAAAACTTCTCATTCAGATTCAGATAGTAACCAGCTCAGGATATAGTTATATAATATACCAGAGGAACCCCAAAACTTGAATATTATGTCCGGTATTCAATAGAGCAGAACATAAAAAGATTTTATAATGACCTGATGGGAGTTACTTCTTCCTGGAGATGGAACATGTGCAGATTTATCCCTTTCGATGACTGTGCCGCAAATTCCATTAACAAAGCAGCAAACAAAAGCAGAACTGCAGTAGACAAATTCTTAATTTAAAGCCTACAAGGGGCACTGGATAAAAGCAGAAGACAGTCCATATAGGGAAATGCAAACCTACATGGGCCCAACCAAGCCATTCCTGTAGCAAACAATGACCCAAAAAGTTGGCCAAGTGTGGCACCAGCACCAATAAACCCAAATAATCTTGAACCTGACTGAACACAAAACAAGGTAAAATGGGAACCTAAAAACCGCATACAATATCAAATGGTGTTGTACAAACCTCACTGTCCATCACATCAATTACCCTAGCCCATGTTGAAGAAATTGTAATTAGATTAAGCAATGCAACCTTCATAAAAGCAGAAAACTGCATCAACGAAATGTCTTTACAAGTATTTAGCAACAGGGTGTAGGAAAACTATAAGTTAAAACTAAAAACTCGAAAATAATAAAATATTACACATCATTACCCAAAGGAACAATCCTATTCGAACAGTAATATAGAACCATCCATGGTTTCCCCAGCCTATTGAAGATGAAAGGGTGCCTTGGTCATCAACCTTCTCTTCAGGCTTTGAGGATGAAGTCAAAGTTGTGGACTCCTGGTGACAGAAAGAGAAACTTAACAACGGACCAAACGGTCAATCAATCTTGCATGAGCAATAAAAAATATAATAAATTATCTTTCAGAGAGATTCTTGACCTACCATCAATTTGGATGCTGAAGATCCAGCTGATGAGGATCGCCATAGGAAAAAAAACAGTACAAGTGATACACCAAAAAACCTGTGTATCATAACCAAAGCCTGGAATTTCGACAAGCACGGCTTCTTAGAACATGGCATGTGAATGACAGAAACTAAAAGACCTATATATTTCTATTCTTTTTCAGAAAATGCTTCTTCATTGACAAACTGCTACAGAAACAACTTAATATGAAATGCATGCTACAAAATGTCAATAATTTTCCATTATATTATGGGCCCTTTTGTTTTAGCTTATTTCATGAAAAAATCACTTATCCTTTGAAAAAAAAAATATTTTTTGAGTTTTTATGATATCTGTTTAAATATTTGAAAATAATCAGAATCCAAAAAAAAGTAAATTTCTGATTATTTTAAGAAATTACTTTGAGTAGCTTTTGAAAATAATTTAATGCAATGGATGAGAGATTGTGTTTTAAAGAGGCAAGATACGTAAAGATATCATAAAATTTAAAAATAATATAATAATAAATCATTTTAATAAAACAAAAATCAATGAAGATATCATAAAATTTAAAAATAACTAACTAATAATCACTTTTTTATTATTATAACAAAACATAAAATAATGTCTGCTTTTTATAAAATCTCTATAAAATAAATCACTTTATAAAATCTTCAAACTACATAAAAATCACTTATTTTTTAATCTTACACAAACGGGCCCTATATTTTGTTACTTTCTGTTGCACTTTTCCAGTAGACATTTCTTGAGTTGACAACTTGTAGTGATGCTCTTCAAGTCTTCATTTTCCAGAGGCAAACGAGTTATGACATAACAATCACTAGCTTAGCCTATCAAACATAGCTTATGAAGTGACTCATCTTCATTGACCTTTCGTCCTGATACAAATTTATAATTTTCCCCCCACTCAATCACAAACTCCTTCATGATAGCACTTAGCATACCGTGTTAACTTATTTGATTAAGTTTTTACCACTTTAATGACTCATTATTCATACCATAACATAAATGATGCTATATTTTTCTTCACCAGTCTACAGCTAGTTTCAAATAATTGGTCTCGTTTATTCTGATCTTCCTCAGGACACACAGCCAATTTATCCTGACGTTTCAGGAGTTTCCACTCCAAGATTAGTCTCTCAAGTGCTTTTGTCTGCTCATTGGCCTCTGGCCCCTTTCACTAACCCAAAAAAAAAAAAAAAAGAAAGAAAGAATGGCGTACAAACACCTCTAAATAAGACTCACTATCCGTTTACTACAAATATGTCCTCTACTGTGTTTCTTAGGCAGTGATTTTTGTTTCTTCCTATTGTATGCCTCTGTGTGTGTGTGTGCGTAACTCCGTGGCATTTGGTAGCAGCAAGACTATAACACTATTAAGCATTTATAAAGGGTCCCGAATAGATAACAAGAAGCCCTCCATCATCGTTTTTAATAAAGGGTCCCTACACAATTTGTTTCAATTTAAATCGACAGCCAGCCTATGATAAACTTGCTCTCCACATAATGTAACACCGTTTCTCCTCTATTTAGTTTCTGTTTCAGTCATCACTGTAAGAAAAATGCTTTGAATTGCTCAAAAAAATAAGCGGAGATAAGTTCACTTCAATCTATATAAGCGGCAACGAGGAATCATCTTAAGTATGTTCATACCTTGTTTCTGGAAAGATTGGGTAGGGAAAATATGAGGGTTGAAACAGGTGCCGCTGTCAGAGTGAGCAGTAAAGACCCCACAAATAGACCAGGCAAATTCGATAGCCCCAGAGAGATGGCCCCCTCATCCCGCAACGGAAGAACTACAAAATAGGCGCTCAAAATCTGCAGTTAAAATCAACAATTGTGAAACAATGAGAAAAATACAAATACAGATTAAGAACGAGAAAAATTCTCATTGAAAAAGAAACCGAGGCAAGGCTCACAAAGAAGAAGCAGAAGAAGGAGTGAAGCAGAGCCGACGTCTCGTGCGGGTGCACCGTAACGAACACGGTGATGAGCGCATCTAATCGAGATCGTCCCATTTTCGTTACCCTGAAAGAGGATTATTGGAAGGGAAGGTCTCAGTTCTTACTACCGTAGTCGGAACTGCGAAGAGGAATTTGTGGTCAAAGTCTTCACTCCACGTGGCATTATATTAGTGGATAACATTTGTCACAACCAAATGTCCCCGCATGGTATCTCCCCAACTCTTCAACGAAATCAACAAATCGCATCTCTCCACGTAGAGATCGCATGCTACTCCGTCACACCGTAATATTCTCACTCGCCATGCTCCCCCGGAACACTGCTACACGTCTAGACCTCGCACTACAAAAGGAGCCCAGCCAAGCCAAATGGCGACCATTTCCTGTAGAGCACTCCGTGTTGGGGCAGCTCTAGGTTCTAGACTTCTTGAAAATAACCGAACTTATTCAAATAGAAACGCTAGCCCGAGAAATTTCCGGACCCATTTTGGATTTTCACGCAACCCATTATCTCTATCGAAATCGTCGTCGACTGTACTCAATAGAATGGACGATACAGCTAGGGTTTCCACTCTGTCCAGTGGAGGGGACGATGTCCTTCGCTTCCCGTTGTCTCCATCGAATGCTTTGGTCATTCAGAAAGGAGACATCACAAAGTGGTCCATCAATGGCTCCTCCGACGCAATAGTATATTTTCCCCCTGTACTCTAACTTGGCGAATATGATAAATTATAGTGGCGCTATATGAGCTTTAGGATCTGTTTGATTAGTAAGAAATTTGTGTCTATTATGTATGCTTTGATATCTAATTATCTAATAAGTTAAGTGGTGGTCCGAAGTATTTGTTATTGTGCGAATTGAATTAGTTAAAATAAATCGGAAAAACGTTGTATCTGTGTAGGTGAATCCAGCAAATGAGAGAATGCTTGGAGGTGGTGGTGCAGATGGAGGTGATTAATTTATAAATGCTTCATTTTGTATAGTAGTTTTTCAAGGAAAAACAGAAACTAGAAAGGCAAATTAATATGAAACCGAACTGAAATAATTAACACTCTTCACCCTTCCTTCAGCCATACACAGAGCTGCTGGGCCAGATCTTCGTCAAGCGTGCTTCAACGTTCCAGAAGTCAGACCTGGAATTCGCTGTCCAACAGGGGAAGCTAGGATCACCCGTAAGTTCTTTTATATTTACAAAATTTCTAAGTTGATATAACATCTAACGTTCCGTCACTTTCTGTCTGCCTCACATAGACCCCTGCTTATTAATATGCAGAGGTTTTAGGCTGCCTGCTTCTCATGTTATTCATACCGTTGGACCAATCTATAATTCAGATATTAATCCTGCTGCATCTCTTGCAAGTGCTTACAGGTAGCTCTATAAAGTTCGTGCAGAGTGCAGTTCTTTTCTCAAGTCAACTCTTAGTTACGTTATCAACAGTAGTTTATTTTAGTTCATATATGGTTAATGGTTAATATGTTTCATCTTCAAATTGATTTACAGGAATAGCTTGAAGGTCGCAAAAGAGAACAATATTCAGTATATAGCATTTCCTGCTATATCTTGCGGCGTCTATGGGTAAGTTCACATAAATGAATCTCTTGGCATGCCTGATTATCATCAATGATCACACTGCAGGACCGATAGGGAAGTATATAACTATATACAGTATCAGTAAGTTGGTGGCTCGGGTTGAGCTTTAATTTCATAGTCTTTCATGAGTGAATCTAAATGCATTTGGAGAGTCAAAACTTTGGAAATAAGTTTGCATTTGGAGAGTCAAAACTTTGGAAATAAGTTTTGTGGCATGTTCACAACTCCTTTAGACTCATAGACTGTTGCTTAATTTCAGATATCCTTATGATGAAGCTGCCACTGTGGCAATATCCACCATCAGAGAGTTTCGAGATGACTTTAAGGAGGTAGAATATTATATTCAATTTGCTCCATTTCTTTATCTGTGTCTCACTCTTGCGTGTGCTTGGTTTTGCAAATGTAGAACTCCTCATTCCCCAAATCCTGTATTTTTAATTGGATTGGAGGCTTTTCAAGTATCTCTATTTACAATTGAATAGGAGTACTAAGTATCCATAACTCCCATTCATGATCCACCATCTGCACCGGATTTTCAATTTTTAAAAAAATATTGGAATTCTAAACAAAATTTATATCATTATTAAAGAAATAAATCAATAATCACATCAATAAATAATTAGTAGTAAATATCTAAATGAGTCGGTATATTGATACATTGGTTTCAGGTCCACTTCGTTCTGTTCTCGCCTGATATCTATCACGTTTGGATAAACAAAGCGAGCGAGTTGCTGAAAGAGTAGCTTGATTCATCAACTATCGAGTGCCTGAATAATATGGAGGAGACCTGCAAGTTCCATTGCCAGATTTCAAAAGCTACTATTCTAGAAAATGAAATAGAAGCTTGAGGATCTTATAATTGAGAATTTGGTCTTTTTCTTTTCCGGTGACAGAATGGAGTCTTTAATTGGAGATTATTAGTTTCATGCTGGTCAGCTGTTACTTTTTTGTGCTATGGTCTGTGGTATTGTGAAGAAGTCCTGCTGGAGCCTCCCTGAACTCCTGTGTTCATGATGCTGTTATGTAAAAATTCAGCGACTTAGCATCAGTTTTCTATTTCGCGAAAATTCATGCTATTTTGTAAACTCTACATGGTTTTCTTAGTGTTTGTCATATCAATAGAAAATTTATGTCTGCTGCTAGAGAAGTAAATGGATGTTTTATTTGGGAAATGGAATGAAATGTTAAGGAATAGTGTGAAAAAGGTGATTTTTTTTTTTTTTTAATGTGGAATGCCGTTGATGTCTCTAAATAAAAAATTTAACTAGAAAATGGATGTTATTGTTTAGCGATTGTATATAATTCACGCCTCAGTTTGTGTGAAGGGATTGCCTTTTGGGAGAATGATTTCCAACGATCCTTGAAGAACATTATTTACAATTAAAGGTCTTGAAATTTTAAAATTCCAAAAATGACCATGATATTTAATTGAAATTAAAAAACTTGAGTTAATTTTGTCGGTACTCATCTTTTACATTTCTAGTACTTATTTTTAACATTTTTAATGCCTCAGTTTTTCAGTAGTTGCTTTAAACGTTTTCAATTCTCATTTTTGATATTTTCAATTGTGGAAAACGTATATAATTTACATTTAATTCTTTTAAATATTGAAATCATAAAAGATAAGTATCAAGAAATCTGAAGTGACTACCCAAAAAAAATAGCAAACTGATTATTGAAAATGTCAAAGGTTCTTCTATAAAATATGAAAGATGAGTATTGAAAAAAATTCAATTAAAATTTTTTTAATTTCAATTAAGAATCATAATCTTTTTTGAGAATTCATAATTTTAAGATTTTTTAGTTGTAATTAATATTCTTATATAGTCCTTGAATATCATTTTCCATTTTCTTTTAGTGTTAATCGAGAGTGCCCTAACCCTTAATCTTTAAACTTATGGAATGGGCTGAAGTCTTGTTGGTTTAGTGGCATCAACCTCACCCTAATAGTGACTAATAGAGGATTCAATCTCGTTGCTCTCTCGTGAGCGCTAGCGAGCCACTTAAAAAGAAAGAAAATGTAGACTTACAAAATGGAATTTTTTTTTTTAGGGGCCAGAGAAATGGATTTAAAAGTACATTTCTTTTGACCTTACTCATAGTAAAGTTATTGAAAGAGTAAACTCTATTTCTTCTTCTAGCTGTCACATCCTTCAAAAAGAACATTACAGCTTAATGGATGTTTAAGTAGGATGAAGAATTCTACCCCAAAAATTAATTGTTGAGGTAAGAGAACTAATTCACATTGAATATTCTATACTATTCAAAATGAAATTTAATATCTCATACTATTAAGTCTCTATCGATTGGCTTTCACTAAAAGCTAACATCCTAGCAGTTGTACTATGTGACTCTCAACTTGGCCTCCTTCCAAAAGAACCTTCTATGATTAGTTTTTTATAAAATTGTTGATAACCTCATTCTCATTCTGATACTAATTGATGAGAAATTTTATGCCAAAAGCTAGTTTTTTAGACTAAAAAGACAACTCACTCATTTATTTTATTAAGCATCCCATACTACTTGCCTCCTATACAAGTACAACCAAGTCTCCATTACAACCACAATAAAACAACCAACAAATACATCGTTTGTTTCATACAGCGAATAATGGAGTGAAGCCTGGAAGTGGATCGCCTGACTGCTAAACAAGTGTAGCTCGATCGAGTGCTCAATTCTCCATCATCCAGTGGCTTTCAAAAAAGCTGCCATGTTACTTTAAAATGGCGAGTCAACCCAAGGAACTGCATACGTGTCTCGATTCAAAGAACAGTCCTAGAAAACAACTAGAAGACTAGGAGTAATGAGATTCAACACTTGCTCCGGAAAATCGAACACGTGATGGATACATTAAGCTTTTTATATGAAAATCAATCATCAGTCATCAATATATACAGGGGACGGTAAGTAGACTAATGGAAGAATGGGACGACTACTTGGATATCAAACCAAGAACAAGCAGTGGGATTGAGGGTACACAGTCTGATTCTAATCTCAAATGGTAAAAACAAAGGCCAAGTAAATGCAATGCCCTCCTTTTAGTTCGACTAACAAAATGACACATTTTGAAAAGTTGGATCGTAATTCATAACGGTGTAAATTTGAGCAATTTGCCCAACTGCACCATTCAGGCTATTGAGGCGATCCACTTCGTGAAAGATCTTGGCAGCGTACCAATGAAAAGTACTGCTATTTTCGGCTCCTTATCATATTGTCACTTCATATGGGAGGACCAGCTCAGAGGCTGTATGCATTTCAAGAAAAATCTTTCTTCCCGTCTCCCACTTTTGATAGCCTACTAATTGTCTTCCGTTACCCAAAAATAGCCAAAAATAAATAAATAAATAAATAAATAAATAAAGACAAAATCTGCCCATAAACTTCTCAAGCTATGTATTATACAAGCCTATGTACATTCTGGTTCAGTCGTGGGTCCCGACAAATGAAAGCACCCCGCCTACAGGTGAATCCAGAGCTGCAGGATAGCATCTAACTACAAAAAATGATTCCTACATGTGAGGAAGAAGGTAAGAAATTGAACACCCTTAACAATATGGAGAAATAGCTAATTTCCTAACAACGAACACACAAGTAGGTGAATTGAATCATGAATCTTTTTCTCTAGGTGCATTCCGCGGGAGTCTGTTGAAGAGACTCTCATCTACTATTCTGTAATGTCTTGAAAATTGTTTGTGGATCATTCCGCAGCATTCATCTACATAGCCACCATACTTGCCGTACAATACAGGAACAGTAATTGTTGCCAGTGTTCCTACCACCATTAAAAAAGGGATAACTGTGAATAAGACGGTTAAGATAGTTTAAACAGCTTGTACATCCCTTCCTCCGCATCAAGGCACGAAAGACATACAACATAAATGCTACTCAAGAAAATCATTAAAGCAAATGACTCTCCCCAATCTTTCATATAAAATAGACCCACTAACAAATCATGATTAGTCAACTGTGACCCATAAATGCTTATGGGTGTCGAAACATCCGTTCAGCTCAATGGAAAACCATGGAAAAGGAGCAAGAGATTGAAAAAGTCTTGCATTTACTATTCCACAGCTGACCACCATCATCCCCCCTCAAAAACCAAGCAATAAGGAATTTTTTTGTTTTTTTGGTTTTTTTTTGGGGGGGGGGGGGACCTCTCGAGAGTACAAGACATCTATTTGCATTGCATTGTATGAAATTTGTAAGACATAAAAAGAAAACAGGAAAACCTATAAAATATAAAGAACTCTCAGTCAAAGACATCAGAAGCTGCCTTTAATCAACAGATTTACAGAGAAAGCATACCGATATATGCCAGGGTGAAAAACGAAACGGTGCTGCCAATGACAGACAAGAGCCACAGAAAGACCACCACCTGTCCAATGTCACGTAGAAAACAGCTCATTAATTTACCTTTGTTGATTTTTTATTTATTTGTGTCTTAAACACTAGTGATGATTACTATGATTTCATGTTTAAAAACAAAATTGCAATTATCTAAGTCACAAGATATGCAAAAACGAGACTTATCCCACTAGGCAGAGATAGGTTACATGGATCGTACAACATGCTTTATCAATAACCAAATATTTGGATATATTATTTACTAAAAGGCCTCATTCAATAATTTCATTGAATATTTTCTTTGGTCTTTCTCTACCCCTATTCACAGGATTCAAAACTACATGTTCCATCCTCATTACCGGCACCTCCAATGGCCCTCTTTGTGCATGTTTGAACCTCCAAATTTCTTGATTTTCTTTTCCTATTCTTTGCAATCTTGTAAATCTTTCATTCCACATTCTTTGTCCCTAACACTTTGTAAAACTCCTCAAACACTTTACAACGTCCTACACTCAGGATTATATAAAATGACTAATGTAGGCACGTAGCATAATTGTGCCCCGACACCGTTGAGAAGAAAATGGAAAATTAACACAACCCACTTCATCAGTGGAGGCTCTGGGAAAGTAATCACAGCTCAGATGTCCCATGACAGTGACAAAAAATATTATTTATTGTTCTCGAAGGGGACTTGGGCATTATCACACTCAACCTAGCTTTCTTATCTATGAAAACAAAAATGCATCTTTAGAAAAAGAACCACTAATTGCCTAGACCACATTATCCAGGTCATAATGCCTAAAATATAGAACTCTAAGCTTTCCAGCATGCTGAAAGGATTAAAAAACTAACCTTGAAAAATACTCTAAAATCTTTGCCCAAAGTGATGTCATGAGCCATAAGGAGCACATTGTTGATTTTAACCCGAAGGGAAGCTGCTGCATTGTTAACCATCTCCTCTGATACTACTAACTCAGGTAATGCCGGTGGTTGTCTGCTAGATAAGGAAAAAGGTGCCCATTAACATTGTTAACGCCAACAATCATAACCAAGAAACATATATAACTCCTTAAAGGGAATTTGGCCATACTTGTTTCTAAGGGCAGCATAGTTTGCGTGGAGAAACAATAGTACGATCAAAATCAGCAAGACATCTGAACAAATTGTTAAAAATGGTAAACCGGTCCACTCAAGTAGGACCCATGCAACTGTTGCAATGACAATGACACCAAAGGAAATGTGCCACCTCTTCCACAATAGAATATCAGCAACTAGAGATTAAAAAAGAAAAGAGAAAGCATGAGTCAAATTTTCATATCCCCATTGAATTGCAAGCAAACAAGAATGCTCTTCCAACAAAATTTTCCAAGTTTGATTAGATAACTTATTTCTTTTATAAGGGGAGAAAAGGAATAAATGTTTGATCCAATACTGTGTGAGCAAATTAAATCCTTAACTCAATATTTCAAATCCAAAATCCTGGCCAGAGATTAGAGCATAAAATGCAACATATACATATGAAAAGAAAGAAAGATAAATTAAACATGAATGACTATAGCTAGATAACGAAGCAGGGAGATCATTTTAACTAGAATTGCGGAAGATTCAAAATCAACCACTTGTAAAGTACATTAACATGAACGACTGCCTCTGCAATGTTAGCATTAACAACGTAGCATAAACGAGGGTGGTTGATGCGTGTGAATAAGCATAGAAACAAGCATTAACAATTATAAGCTAAATTTTCATTTTCCCGTGCCCTTTCTTCCTGTTTTTAAAATGGATGAAAATTATGCATAGAAATTTTCTGGCTTCTTCATTTTTTACGTTACAAAAAATGCTTATCACGTCCCTACAAAAATGCTCATTCAATCTGCTTCGCTTGCTACATGTGACTACAAATATCACAATTACTGCATCTTACCTTCTCGTCACTTGCTTTCTTAGTTTCATCTTTTGCTTCACTTTCAAATTCAAACTATGAATCTGTAGTATTGGCATAGTAAATTGGGTCTCCCTACATAGAATTTGTCTTAGAAAGCAAAGTGAGCGGGCTAAACAGATTAGCAGCCCACTAGGACAGTTGAAAGACGGACCTAAATCAAACGTAACCTGCCTTGGCCAGTTAAGAAGGTTTGGTTCATTTGTCACTGACAGCTGGAGAAGTGTTAGATATGACAGCATGGGGAAATTCTTTCAAAGAAAAGAAAGCCATCAACTTTGGAATCTTTAACGAAGAAACAGTAAAGAATTGAACTACAACCTTGGAACGTCAAACCCAAACAGAATTCAATAATGAAGAGACCCAGTAGGAAATCAATTAAACTAATTTGACATAAAAATGGGCAAATAAAAGCTAGGTCAACAGATAGCAGCTTACCTGATCCCGCGGAGCTGCAAGGCAATGAAGTTGCGGAGGACTTCCTTCCGTCCCCATCGCCCTCGATGTTGTTCAAGTCTTGTGAGCTCTCCATGAATCGTAGCACAAGCGCAAGAGCAATTGTTGGTGTTGCCCTCGCTATTTCAGAATGATTTCAGAGTTGTGATCAACAATTCGCCAGAAAAAATGTTGAAATAGAAGAAACTGTCACAAGAGTCCTCGCTCTTCGTCTTCGAGGTACCCCCGGATGCAACAAAACTTTGCAATACGACGACGGCATCGAATAACATAGGATTTTCAACATGAGAAGGGCCCAGAGAAAACGACAACTATAAACGTGATTCGTTAGGCACCCACTATTTTAATTAAGGCAAAGATTAATTGACCACCTTTTTTAATAATTTTTAATTTTTAATTTTTAATACAGCTGTATAAAATATTAAAATGTATTATCTTTTTTTTTGGGATAAACAAAATGTATTATCTTTTATCATTTAGTTTTTTTACATAGAGATCAAATTCCATCATAAAGATCAAAGGGGCACATATAAAAGTCCAACTAACGATAACTAATGTTAAGTGGGCAAAAAAAAACAACGCGTCCGCAATCGGCACCGCGTGGTCATTACGGCTAGAAATAATATTGACCCTCTAATTCTACACGGCAATGATGAAATAGTCATGCATTCTTGTCCTTGGGCAAAAGAAAAAATTACTATTAAAAAAGAGAAAAATAATCTGTTGATGTTTATAATTTTAATTGGATTATAATTTAGTTTTTAAATTTTAACTCAATATAATTCAATTTTTATAGTTTTGAATCAGTACATCTTAATTTTTAAAATTAAACTCATTGTCAATTCCTTATAATTTTTGCTAAAATATTATTCCTTAAATTTTAAAAAATAATGTTAGTCAATCAATAAGATTTGGATCTAATGAAAGGGGTCATTTTATCATGATGAATCAAAAATTGAATTACTGCTAAATTAAGTATTTATATTTAATATTCGACCGTAATTGAATATGTTTATCTCTAATATGATATGATGATGCCTGTGCACGATAAAAAAATGAATAACACCAATTCTCATATTTTATTTTTAAAATACATGAATTAATATTTTAAATGGTCAAAAAGATAGAGACTAATTTATAATCAAAATTAAAATTTTGAAAATTTAGTTACAACAATTTAAAATTCAAGAATTGAGTTTTAAATAAGTCAAAATTATTATAAAATATTCAGATACCACCCATTCAAATCATTGTACCAAAAAAAAAATGATAAAATCAAAAGATATGAAAAATATCAATATTGGATACCATAAAATAATCAATTCTGAAGATAGAAATCCCGTTCTTGTGAAAAATATATCAAAGCATATCTATTATATGTTAAAATCAACTATAAATCTGAAATCATGATTTTGTTTATGAGTATCCAAACATTCTTATTATATTCTAAAATCAATCATCAACATAAAAAAATAGGTTTTGTGAAAAAAATTCAAACATATCCATATATATAATAAAATTAATGATGAACTCAAAATCATGATTTATAAAATAAAATTTACATGTTTTTTTGGATAAAATTTTGGGGCAATACAATTGAAAAAATAAATTGGAAAACAAGCAATATCAATTTATGACAAAACCATGATTTTAAATTTAAAATTAAGTTTGACATGTATAGATAAGTTGATATAATTCCATTGCCAGTTAAATAAAGTGTCTGGTGTTGCACAAGTAGAGTTTTTACTTGAGAGGATTTTTTAGGTCTTGTTAAAGTTTTTTTTTTTAAGGAGGACCTGAAAGAGGCTTATGGTGCGTACTTGAGAAAAAAGCTGGTTCGGAATTTACCTTGGTGCGTGCTTTCTTTTTCCCCCGGAGGTGGTAAAAAGGCTAAAGGCTATTTCATGACGGAGATACAAGGTTTCGATATTTATTATGATGGCTTTAATTTGTACCTATGCTTTGCTTCCACTTTCCAGTCTCTACTTTTGTCGCTTCCCTCTGTAAGGGCGTGCCCAAATGATTTGCATTGATAATATGCCTCAATTTATTATGATATACTAAATTTCGCCTGAAAACGAAAAACAAAACCCACTCTTCCAAACGCGTTCCCGGAATTTGGAGCAAGACAAGAAGAAAACGCAATCACCGCCAGCTTCCTCCAATTTCCCTTTTCCGATAAATCGTTAGGTTCAGCTTCAATTTCCACGAACCCTGTTTGGTCTCAGCTTCTCTGGTTGGCACAGTGATCAGTGACAACCTTCCTACCTAAACTCATGTAACCCAAAACTATAGATCACCCATCGTTTCATTCAAGCCAATGATCATTTTTTCTCTATAATTCTTGGATCTTATCTTACGGGTTTTATTGCTGCTAGTGTGATAAATATTACGTCAAGCCCCCTTTTAGTATCGCTGCTTAACATATCTCGTCTGTAAGTTTAGCTATCTGCGTTATGGATAAAGTCGTCGTTTTGTTTTCTGGGGTTGGCTGATTCTGCCACTGCTGACCGACATCTTTATGTTGTTTGCTTGACTTTCTTGTTCTTTTAATTTGTCTGGTTATCTGTTTTTTTTTTTTTTAACATGTTGAACTAGGAGTTTTATTCGGGCTCCTTTTTTATCTTTTGTATCAGTTATTGGAACAAAGTCGAAGATGGTGGAAGGAGAGAAATTTCAGCTGGGGACTATCGGGGCGTTAACTCTATCTGTGGTGTCGTCGGTATCGATTGTAATTTGCAATAAAGCACTAATGAGCACGTTGCATTTTATTTTCGGTAAGTTCACACTGTGACACTGATATGATTGTTTAATTATTTTCACTTCGTCGCTCTTAGCGTATTTCTCCTTCATGATTATAGTCTATTTGCTGAAATGATTTGTGTTCCTTCCATATATAACTTCTAATTTACCTTAACGAGAGTTAACAAGGGTCAATTCACCTAATTAGTAACTGTAGAAGCAGTTAACAGTCTATCAAACATCTGAGTTGTTGCCAATGCAAGTTGGCGTAAGTGGTTGCAAGGATCCGGATAAGACTTCCACCTCTCTTCAGGTGTATCATCGAATCCCTCTATAGCTACTCAAGTCTTGTATCGGTAGCAACTTTACTTGTCGCTCAAGGGCTGTTGCGTCTTTGAGTGACTCGGGCACATCTTGTACCTTTTGCATAGGTGTCAAGTCCTTTGTGGCAGTCTATATGGTGGGGTGGATTCCCCGTCTTTGGCATTGCCAGTGGTATGGGAGTGCCGTCCCTAATTGATAATTTTCTCATCAGGAACAAAGTAAATCAGAGTTGTTAGATTGGACATCAACTTTGTGTTTTGATTTTAGTTGACTAGAAACTAGAAGGGAGAATGACAAAGAGGTTTCAAATTAGGTCTCAAATGCCAAGCTCTAGGAATTTGTAAGTTTCGACTCTCAATTTTGCAATTTCATTATGATGAATTTGCTACTTGTATTATAAATTTTAATAGGGAAAACAAATTTATTTATTCTTGAATTATGTTAAAATTTGAAAGATAAGTTGCAAATTCCTTACAACAAAGTTGCAAAATTGAGAAACGAATTTGTAAATTCCTCAAGTTTGGCACTTGAGATCTAATTTGAATTAATTGGTCTCAACATCTGTCAATCTCCCAAACTAGAAGTCAGCCTTAAGAATGTGAGACAGCCTGTCACTAGCCTCCACTTGTTGTAAATTGAAGATGGAGAAAATGGCCCTTCAATAGTATAGGTAAAAATTACATTTCCTCCCTAGTTAAGGATTTTAGCTGCTTGTTTCCTCGGTGGCTTGCTGGTATGGAGAAATTTTATCAGCCGTAATCTTACCTGTTTGGGACACAGCACCTGAGACAGGGTTAAGGATTTTATCTTCCGAAGAAACATCAATTCCAAAATCTATTAGGATATGAATACATGTGAGCCTCCAACTAATAACTCATACCAATAGACATTTTACTAAATTTTTTTATCAATTTTCTGCAATGAAGGAAAAATTATCACCTCACAGATGATGTGCCTAATAGTATTGATTACTTTTCATTATATGAAATTTTGAACTGGGCTTTTACATGCCCTTTGATATGCATGCAGCTACTACCTTGACAAGTTGGCATCTTCTTGTCACATTCTGTTCTCTTCACGTGGCATTGAAATTGAAATTCTTTGAGCACAAACCTTTTGAGCAGAAAGCTGTAATGGGATTTGGGATTCTAAATGGAATCTCAATCGGGCTTTTAAATTTGAGTTTGGGCTTCAATTCTGTTGGCTTCTATCAGGTACAATTTTGTGTTGTTTCTGTCTTTATTGTGCACTAGCGGCTTTTATTTAGGCGGGTTCTTTAGCCTGTTCTGAGCTACTTATATTTGCTTACAGATGACTAAGCTGGCTATCATTCCATGTACTGTTTTGTTGGAGACCCTTTTTCTGGGAAAGAAATTCAGGTGCAACTTTCCCCCTCTGTCTCCTTCTATTGTTCCTCTTAAATGGTTAAATCTGCTTTGTGACATCTCACGGAGTTCTCAAGTTCTCATGATATTGTTCTATATGTTAGATCTGTAACATCCTTTGGTCTTTGGCACGTTGTTTGGACCCAAAGATCGTTTTCAAATGATTCATATCCTGCATATTTTGTCCGCCTCATTGAAATATCCTTCAATTTTATTTTCATCAATTTTGTAGACTGTATTAACTGTTTTCTTTTCTCTGTCATTGCAGTAAAAGCATCCAACTTTCCCTTACTATCCTCCTTGTGGGTGTTGGGATAGCGACAGTCACTGATTTACAGCTCAACGCTTTGGGTTCTTTCTTATCTCTTCTTGCAGTTATCACAACATGTGTCGCTCAGATTGTATCCTCAAGGAATTTTTCCGTTAAATTTTACCAATAGTGTGATATATTTGTTCATATTTTCCCTACTTATGTTATGGTGTTGTATTTGCACTATTTTTAACCTTAAAAACTGTTTCTCTCAATAATTTTGCTGCTTTCTAAAAGGGAAAGATACGTCATGTAATGTTCTTAGGTTTTCTTATATAGAATGTGCAAGTCTTTACTTGCATGCTCTACATAAAGGCCGGAAGCATCTATCTTTCTCTCTATTTGCTTGCCTTATCCTCGTATTAGTCTCTCCCTGTCTGGGCAAGAACCTATCATTCATGTCCTTCGAAAATGTTAGGAGTTAATATTATTCAGTCACACATAAGTAGACCTTTTCTCTGCATATGCATGTCTTGTTAAGATCTTAACCAGCCCATTTCAGATGACAAATACTATTCAGAAGAAGTTTAAGGTTTCTTCCACTCAGCTTCTGTACCAGTCATGCCCTTACCAAGCGGGAACCTTGTTAATCTCTGGTCCATTTCTGGATAAACTCTTGACCAACAATAATGTATTTTCTTTCAATTATACAACACTGGTGGTGGTAAGATAAGACTTAATGAACTTAGATTGGCACGGTAACTCTTTTCTTTTTAAATGTATTCTCAATCGTTACTTTCTGTGTTACAGGCGTTCATTGTTCTTTCTTGCCTTATCTCAATATCTGTAAACTTTAGTACATTTCTTGTCATTGGAAAGACATCTCCCGTCACCTATCAGGTCCTTGGACACCTGAAGACATGCCTTGTACTAGCATTTGGTTATGTTTTACTCCATGATCCATTCAGCTGGAGGAACATCATGGGGATTTTGATGGCCCTGATTGGGATGATTCTGTATTCTTACTTTTGCACTGTGGAGAATCAACAAAAGGCTTCTGAAGCAACAGCATTAGCATCTCAGGTTTGTCTTACATGCGTGTTGCAAGTCTCATGGTAATAAGAATTGGGTCGAACTGTTCTGTTTAATTGAAAATTGGTGAATCTGTGTCTAGTTTTAATTTGTTCAGTTTGACGGCTAGTAATTTATTCTAAAAGCTTAGAAACTTTAAAGGCTAGTAATTTTATATTCACTTGATTGTTTTATGGTGTGTTTGCGATGGCGTTAGCCAACCCAAAAACTATTTTTCACCATGCGAAAATGTGGATTTTGGGGTCGTGCTGCACTCTTTGGCATTATTTGTTTCTGCATTTTTAACTAAAACTACAAAATGACCTTTAAAATTGTTTTTCATATTTGTCAATATATTTTTATTATATAAGGTTTCTCTCACATGCACACATCTTTTTTTTTTTTTGGGATAACAAACACACTCGCATCTTTAATTACCAACAGCATGACTAGATCAGATTAATGAAACTATCAATCAGTTTTTCCGACCAGATGACCTATTCCATTTTACAAACTTTGGCACGTCTTGAGTTTTCCTGTTGAGTTTGACTCTTGAGTTTGCTCTGTGATCTGATTCCCTTTTTTCTCCTAAACCTCTACAGTCAAAAGAAAGTGCAGCTGAGCCTCTGGTTAATGTGGAAAATAGAGGAGCATTGGCTGAAACTGTTGGACAGAAAATTCCTGTGTGGATCAAGGAGAAAGACTAGTATGTATGCTTGATGAACCTATAGGTAGGCCTTATAGAGGATTAATAATATCGTTATTCTCACACTTTATAATATTTAGTTTACAAGTATGAATTGCGTCTCTGGGTAGTATACTATTGAGTTTAGCACTATATGAGTTGATAGCTAGCCAGCAGCATTACCGAGGAAAAGTCTCAATTCTAGGGGCTAACAAATATGACTTATTTACGCGAAGTGGCCAACCTTTCCTGGGGTAGTTTTCAGGGTATTCTCTGTGTGTGTGTGTGTGTGCACATGCAAATTTTGTTTCTTCCTTCAATAGCATATGGACGTTTTTCTTTTTGTTTGATTTTCTGTTTATGATTTTGATGTATATTAATTTTATTCCCATTTGAAGAGGTTGCTTTTGAGTTTTGGGCAAATTGCTTTATTATTTGTTTCCTTTGGTAAACAATTACTCGATAATATCCTCCTAGTTGAACCGGTCGACATTTGAAACTCATATGGGAGCTTTATGACTTGTAGCATTAATTAGAAGGCTATCATGGTCTACAAAGCCACATAAATGTGGCTCCCTTTTTTTTAATTGTTTTTTCGTTCATAATCACAATTGTGAACCGTTGGATTGAATTTAATAATTTAAATCTGATAGTATTTTAAAAAATAAATTAATTTGTACTGTTAATATATGATGAGAACAGAACATTGAAAGTGTCAAGAGGAAGAGGATTATTAAAATATTGCCACTATTACTCGTGATTGAGTAAAATATTAAAATTCAACTAATGAAAATGTCTAAGCTGACAAATAATATTTGAAAACGGTTGGAATTATAACCATAATTATTGGTTTGAGGATAACTGTCAAGGAAATGGTTGTTTAGTGAAGTATTATATTATAATTATCGTCATTTTATAACAAGAGGTTGAACACAAAATTGACCTATCAGTCAAGATGTGATGTTTAAAATGAGTATAATCAACGGACATACTGTGTAAAAATTGAAATGCAATGGTGTTATTTTAATTGAGCGTGTTTTTTTATTTTTATTTAAGGGACCTGATGGCTGAATTCAATTGATTTGTCCTTCAAGGAAATCCCATGAGATTGTAAGGAGGGATTTTTTTTTTTTTTTTTTTTTTTGGGGGGGGGGGGGTTGCCAAAAGCTGACTTCATGTGCTTGAAGACGTAGTTGGATGTTTGCTGATAAAATGTTTGAAAGATGTAAAATATATAAATATAATTCTAGAAAGAAAAAGGGACACTTGAAATTAAATTGTGATGATTTAGCCTATGATCTACAAGTCATAAGCTTATAGGTTCAAATTCTACTATCATTGTAATGATTTTGTTGGTAAGCAACTTATAAGTACATGTATGTATGTGCCTTTTGATTTGAAAAATTATTCAATATGTTAATTCTTAATAGATCCCGTTGTTACTTGAAATTAAATTATGATGATTTGGTCTATAATGCATATTTTGTAAGATTGTAAGTTCAAATCTCATTGATATTGTGACAACCATGTTAGCAATTTGTAAATACATACATGTGCTCAAGTTTGGAGATATGTCTAATGTGTTAATTTTTAATGGATCTTATTATTTAGAATTAAACTGAGGATTTTGCCTATACAAGCCATAAAGTCGTAAGTTTAAATTTACTATTGTTATGACTATTTTGTCAATGAATGATTTATAAATATTTGTAAATGCTTTTTAGATGTGGGAATATGCTGCCCTGTTAATTCTTAAAAGGGAAAATTGCTAAAAAAAAAAACTCTACTAAAAATCTAATTGCTAAGAAGGATTTGGGAATATTTTGAAAATAAGGTATTTTGATAATTGATGAAGGTTAAATAACATGAATGCCTTAAAAGATTAAGGAATTTAGCAAGGTCATTCGCTTACCTTGCTATCATAATCAAACAAATCTCTTACTTGAACAAAAAAGCTTTTAAAATAATCAAGCAAATTTTCTACCTAGCACCTAATATAGTTATATCAAAAGTCCCTATATATATATATAATCTTTCACTTAAACTACAAAATACTCTGAGTATGTATAAGCTTCTGAGTAAAACATAAAGACCATATATTTTAATCAATCAAAAGTGAAATTACAAGCTGAATCACCCATTGCAACTTTTTTCCATTGATTTATTTTTTTTTTTTACATAACTTAACTAGATAAGCAAAAAGTATGCATTCAAATACCACATAAAACTCAAATTCAACTCTATTAAGTCATATACTTGATAAAAATCAATATAATCATAAAATAAAAATTAATTACCGGGATGTTTGTAATCCTTCAAAGAACTTTTAGAAACCATATCAAGGCACAAACTCAAACAAAAGCCATAGTCCTATAGATCTCAGGGCTCGAAAAAGTATGGGTAATATAAGAACATTATGGAAGCAACCTTGAAGAAGGATGGTATGGGTAGTGATGGAGTTTGATCGCAAGTGTCTTTCTTCACTAAATATGCAATTGCAAGGTTAGTGATCATGATAGAGTTTGATCACTTTGCTGCTCTTTTGCTGTTTAATAGTTTTCTTACCTTTCATGAGCAACAATGAAAACACAGCAATAGCAATAATGGCACAATTCACACACCAAAATAACACTTACAGACATATATTTGCTCTCCTCAGCAACTACTAGGAGATGCCATCAAGGCAAATACTTATCAGGGATTGGAGAAGCTCTCATGAGAAGAGAGAATTTTCAAGGGGAGTGAGATTTGGTTTGGGACAATATAGTTATTTTCTCCACCAAATTAATGCTAGCAAAAGACCTCGGTATTGAATCTCTTCCAAGTCTTTCTTAATAAAATGAAATTTGATGATGTCTTTTTTTAACAATTTTCTCTCCTTAAAATTCTAACCCTTCTAAAGTTTTGTTAAATAAAAAAAAAACTCAAAATAGTGCCAACACATAGTTAGAAGTGTTTAGGGTTTGTCATGCCACCACTCTACCATTATTCATTACTATCACGTCTTGTAAATGAGCTATCTATAAAATATAAACACCTATAAACACTCTTTAAATTGGAGATATGTTCACCTGTTAATTTTTAAAATTCAAACTCATCTAAATTTTTGAAAAAAAAAAGATGAAAATGTCACACATATTGAGAAGCTATAATGCACGAATATAGATACGGCTATCATATATGATACATATCTAATACATTGATATTTACATTTTTAAAAATATAGCATACGATATATTTCTAATACGTGTATATATTAATAAAAATCATAAAAATATTAAAAATATAATTTTAATTTAAAAAATATCCAAACTAGCACACATTTATAGTCTTTTACAGCAATATCAATTCCTTTCTAATAGGTATAGTATCAATATTTTCTCTTTCTCAACCATCATCTACAAAAAGCATAGCTTTTATATATGGTTTATTAAAAGATAAATTTGCCACTCCCAAAATTCCAACATGATCGAAATCATCCCATTTATCTCTACTAATGTCCCAACAGAAATATTGGTAATAAAAATTTTAATATCATAATCTTTAAAAAATTTAATTTTTTAAAAATTTTCTAGAAGCATCGACTAATAATTTAGAGATATCAAATATGTATAAAAAATTAAAATATTATGATACTTTATAGATGTGTATAAAAAAAGTATCAATAAGTATCAGTGTTAAATATGAATATGTGAGGCAATTTAAAGTATAAAGAAAAAATGTCTGGGCTAGCCACGCTGCCATTGCCCCTAAAAATTATGACTGGAATGTGCCTAGCTTTGCTTGCCTCAGCCCTTCTAGTAAGTGCAATTGATAAAATTCCCTGGTTGTCACCTTAGCAGTCTCTTCATCAGGGTTCATGTGTCCCTAGTTAAATATAAAAACATTTGAAACTATTTTTTAATAGGAAAACTACTATAAAAAACCTCACCACCAAATTAATTGCTGAAAAGGAGTTGGAAACTTTTGGAGAATGAGGTCCTTTACTGGGATTAATAGCTAAGGATTAAATGACATAAATGCCCTTCTTGTAAAAAAAAAGAAAAAGTGGAAAAAGATCCTTCGCTGTCAATGTTTCACATAAAGTCCTTCGTTGTCAATATGTCACAAGGTCCTTTGCTGTTAATAATTTCATATCAATCCTTAATACAAGGTCTTATAGTGTCAATATGCCAAAAAAAAGTCATATGTAGCGGTTTTCAACCATATGCAATGATTCTTCCATTATAAGTATTTGAACTTTCATTATATGCAATAAAACTTCTATTTATTCAAATAATATCTTTTGATATTTCAAAAAAATTTTAATTTAGAAACATTTTGAAATACTAGAAGCAGAATTTTCAGTCATATGTAACGACTCTTCCACTATATATATTTGAATTTCAATTATATGCAAAAAAAAACTTTCATTTATTTAAATAACACGTTTGCATATTCGAATATCACTCATTAATTTCCTTTATAGACATTTTTGGAAGCATATGCAATCTTTCTTCCTCAATTTGCGACTAATCTTTAATGAAATGTAAATTTCTTCCACAGATTTGAATAACAGCTTTAGATATTAGAATATCACTCATTAATTTTTTTTATGGATATTTTTGGAAGCATATGCAATCTGTCTTCCTCAATACGTGATTGGTCTTTACTGAAATGTAAATTTTTTCACATATTCAAATAATACTTTTGCATATTCGAATATTATTCATTAATTTCTCTTATGGATACTTTTGAAATCAGATGTAATTTTTCTTCCTCAATATGTGGCTAATCTTCAACAAAATATAAATTTCTTCAATATATTTAAACAATACTTCTGCATATTTGAATATCATCCATTAATTTTTGCTATGGATACTTTTAAAATCATATGCAATCTTTCTTCCTCGATATGCGATTGATCTTCAATGAAATGCAAATTTCTTCCACATAATCCAACAACATTTATGCACTTTCAAATGTCATTCATTAATTTTTCTTATGAATACTTTTGGAATCATATGCAATTTTTCTTTTTTGATATGCGGTTGATCTTTAATAAAATGCAAATTTCTTCCATATATTCGAATAACACTTTTGCATATTCGAATAAATGGAAGGCTATTTGCAATTTCTTGAAGTGATATTTGAATATTCAAAATGATTATTCGAATAAATGAAAAAAAATTACATTTTCAAGATATTTAAAATGCATATTTAAATATAGCTTTGAACTTAAGGTTTGAATATTACATTAATGTTGTGTTTTCATCATATTCTGAAAACACAAATGGATATTCTGAAAATGCAAATTGATATTCTAAAAATGCATATGAATATTCTGAAAATACAAATTGATATTCTGAATTTTTTTTCATGAAAACACCAAATAATATTGTGAAAAGGCAAATGCATATTTTGAAAAATATGTTCATTTTTCATGAAAATTTATTTTGATATTATGAAAACTAAGAGGTAGAAATGAAAGAAAATCTTTGAACAACTGATACACTGAACAACTTTATATCTTTACATTGATATAATGCATGGTTTATGTTTTTCACTTTACATTGAGTTTAAAATAAATTTATTTTACATTCCATATAGCAAAATAATTGAACATCGAGAAAGATTCACTTACAAGCAAAACAACACCTAAAGCAAGAAATTGAATATGCAAACAAATAAGAGTTACAAAAGGTAAATTTATATCCTTAAATGTGCATACACATAATCATGTATGCTTTACAAATGAAAACAATTTCATGGACATGAACATTTGCAAAAAGCCTATCCCAACAATACTCTTAATCTATTCATCCTAGCCTCCTTCTTCTCCTCCTTCTTCTCCAGTATTGTTGTAACACACCAAATTTTTTTTTTAATAATTTAACTCAATCATAGTTGGGTTACAGCCACCCAACACATTTTTATATCAATAATTTCAATATAAAATATTTTATAATTGACTTCAACTCACACACTATAACATTTCAGATAAATTTTTACCTCCCACATGCCATTAGGCTAAATCACATTTGTCCATCCTTATACTCCCAACAAGTAAACTAAATTACATTTGTCCATCCTTATACTCCCAACAAGTAAAATAAGCAATTTAGTTGATTTTCAACACAAGCCAGTTATTTGGCCTTATAATCATGCCATTTTAACCAATCCAAAGTAAACCAAATATTAAAATTACAGTCATCCAAATTGTACCAAAAATAGAAATAGTTTGAAAGGCATGATTACATTTATATATTCATATAATTGACAATAAACAAAAAAGTCCTAATATTGGCAATATGACACATTATAAATCATAAATTAAATACCCAAAAGAGACAGTGGATTTATACCACTAAACCTCTGGGACTCCTCTACGTGTCACTCGTGGCTCTTCTCCTGAAAATTGTTAACCACATAATGAGACTCAAAAGTCCCAGTAACCAAATTCAATTTATGATGTGTATACAAACAGTTAAGTGTGTGCTTACTAAGTGAGAATTAAAAATAATATAATTCCAACAAATATATGAAATATTACAATACACACAAACAACCATCCTTATATCCCTCCATTAACCTCGAGCCGTAGCTCTCACTCGGTGCTAAATTACCCGGCCAAAAGTAGATTAGCCCGAGCCCTTACAAGCCACCTATTGAGCTCTAATATGGACGTACCACGTGGCACATAAATACAACAATAATAGCAAGTCTCCCAACACCTCCCACAATAATTAAACAAATTCATAATAATATTGCACAATTATACAATATTACAAAATTCATAATTTTCTCAATAATCACCCAATTAACATGAAGTAACACTAATCACAAATTTAAAACATGGTTACCTTGTGGCTTTTTCAATAAATTATTCCTTAAAATTTCTCTCTCACCACAATCTTCACCAGTAATACAATATACAAATAACATATTATTTATAAATATTAGTTTCAATTTTTGAAACTAATAAAATAATTCTAATAATAGAATTAAAAATATAGTTAATACTATTAAGTAAAATTTTTAACTGCTCTTTTAATTATCAATAAATATTAATAATCTAAAAAAATTAGCTTCTAAACTAATTTCTATTATCAACATTTTTTTTTATTTCATAAATTCGTACCTAAAATACCTAAAAATTAAAAATTGAGTCTCTAGCTTAGAATCATAATCCTATAACCATAATAATTCATTTCTCATCCCAATTAATCATCTAAACTTCAATAAATCAACATATATTTTCAGATCTAGTTTAGAATTTGATCCATAAGCCATAAATTCAAAGATCATCAACAAATTTATACTCTAGAACATTTATTATACTACTGACAACCTCAAAAACTATATTTATTCAACATAAATTCATCCCTCTTCCAGATCTTAAATTTTTTACCACCACAAAATCAGAAACCAAAGAGGAAGGATGACTAAGAAAATTTTTTAGAACACTTACTTAGTCTTGAAAAGCTTAAAATCACACCCTAAATATCCTATTAAAAAATCTTACCTTAAAAACTCAGATCTCCCACACCGGCGACTCACGCTCACTCTGCCTCAGCTCGCGCACGAAGGAAAGAATGAAGAAATGAAAGGAAACGGGTGAGTTTTATAAAAATTCAGTGGGTCCCACATCTTTTTTTTATTATTTCCTCTCTCTTCTTTTTTTATTACTATATAAATATAATCATTGCACCGGGGAAGAGCACCGAAAGCCGTCTTGTTCTCTTCTTTCTTTCCTTCTTTCTCATATTTTTTATTATTATAATAATAATAATATTTTAATAATAATATTTTTTATTATTATTATTTTTTTAATTATTTTTTTTATTTTTTTAAATTTAGAATTATATCCTAAGTTAGATTTAATAATCATCTCCTACTAATTTGCTTACCTCTAAATATTTTTTTAAAAATTTCTATTTGCCAAAAATTAACTATTAAAATTTAAATTGGAATGTTACAATTGTCATTTTCTTCTACCACTTTATCCTTACCTCTCGATTCTTTGAAATTCACAATGCTTCTATCTTCTCCAAGTCTTGTCATGCCAAGTGCATTGGAAACATTATAAATTTTCAACAAAAATTTTACTTTAAAGAGCATATTTGATATAAATTGTCATATTGATGTTGCCATCTAATACAAGCTATTACAATTATAAAGCAATAAATCATCTCTTGTAGAACATGAAATTCAAACCTGGGAGCACTAGAACATGAAATCAAAATACTATAAAAGGGAAATCAATTGAAAAAAGGAGAAGAGAAAGGTGTGGAACTGTGGAACTATGATCAACATTGCTAGAATTTATTAAATGCTAAAGGTTTTTATAGGCATAATATATTTTTAACAGTCATAACAATTTTAAAAAGCAATCACTAAAGTCTCAGAAACTTTTGAGCTTTTTGCCATAAAAAACTATTGTAGGAAGAATAAAAAGAATTGGCCATTTTATTTTAGCATGTCTAAAATGTATCAAAAGCTGTTTATAGGAATAACAGTTGAAAAGTAACATTAAGATTAAAAAAAATTGTAGATTAGTGTAAGATCGAAAGAAGTTAGAAGGTATCGTGGATCAAAGAGCAACTTATAGTAAAAACAAGGGCATTTAACAGAGTTGGGATACAACTTCTTCAAGAATCTGTAGGTATAATATACCACCAAAGGCATAAATCAATGAGTTTGACAGGATGCAGGTCTTACTTTTTTCAAATACCTAGCAAAATAACTATCTTCACATATTTTCTAATAAAATATCACCCTTGACATCAAAAAAACTATATCCCCAACTTGTAGAGTTGTAGTTAATTCATCACTTATCTCTAAAGCAAATGCAAGAGGGTGGTTTACAGTACCTTAACATTAATTATAGATCATTGCCATTAATAGGATTTTAGTTCATTATTCATAAAATCTAGAAATTTTTAATAAATGAAGTGTGATTGTTGAATGTAACAAAGAAAATAATTTCTTTTACACAATGATGACTAATCATACCCTAGATGAATGACACAACACATTTAGATAAAGGAAAACAATGGTTGCTATTACATAATGATGATTAATATGCAATTAGCACCCAATTACATAGGGGTGCAAGATTACATCCTTTCTTAATTAGAATAGATAAGGAATATTCTCAATTAGTGATGAAGCAGAACAACTACTCCCATCAATCAAATAATAGGAAAATATACTTTAAGGACGGCTCAAATAATGACAAAGTTGATTCAATAAATAAACCAACAAATCTATTTTCTATAATGTTTTTTCTTAAAAGAAAGCTAAAGAGGTGATGGATGTGTTCATTTAGAGTTGAAATGTTTGCCAATTCACAGCCCTTAGAATTCTTGCACTATTTAACACATAAAGATATATAATGAGAAGATGCCTTCAATGGGAGGAAATTGTTTATAAAGGAAAATATCTAGATTTGAGATAGCCACATTCAATAAAATTTGCAAGAACAACATAATAAATCTTGGTAGAAACTCATACTGTGAAATGAAACTCTTGCCAAGATCTCACCTCACTTTGCTTTGTTGACATTATTGTCAGGATCACGACAATTTATCATCATCGTCAAAAACAAAGAGCCTGTCATCATCGTCGATCACTCCTCCGATGCCTTGGAACTCTTGGAATTCTTGCCTTTTGTTTTAAGAAAACCCTAGAAATTATTAGTATGACTTTTTTGCTCTTAGCTTTGTCTACACAAATTCAAAGAGGAGGAGGAAGGGGAGGAAAGAGGTAAGGACGGAGAAAAATAATTAGGTATGAATGTGGAGATGAAGGATAAGGAGTTAGGGGAGGAAGTCACTACCAGAACATGATGAGTGTGGAAAGCAAAGGCTAAGAGAGGAGAGAATTTAGTGAGGACATTTTGATCATTTAAAACTTTGAATTAATATCAACGAAGGACTATTTTTCCCAAGTCCTTCTAGCAAACTTAATTTGGTCATGTCCTTTTTGGCAATTCTTCTTTTTTTTTTAATTATTATGAGAATTGATATTTTATAAAAGATATTTTAAAAATAAAAAAAAAACATGAGTTTCTTTTTATTTGGTATTTTAATAGTTTCAAAGTGATTTGATTTTTTTTTCCAAAACACTTTTTGAACGCATTACCAAGCAAGCCCATGGTTTCTCTAATGTTGTTCATTTCGGCTGTTTCTGCAGATAGACTTCCCAAATCCTGAGTATCCGACTTCTCCACCCAATCTCCATTCTTCGTCCTCGCCATGGCAATGAGATCCTTGCTGTCCAGGAAACCCCTCGCTTCTGCGCTTCTCAGTGGCCCCAAATCAATGGGATTAGGGTTGACTGCAGCTCAACCTCATCGCGGCTTGCAAACCTTCACTCTACCCGACCTTGCTTACGACTATGGTGCACTTGAGCCTGCCATCAGCGGCGAAATTATGCAGCTTCATCACCAGAAGCACCATCAGACTTACATCACTAACTATAACAAAGCCCTCGAACAGCTTCATGATGCTCTGGAAAAGGGTGATGCCTCTGCTATCGTTAAATTGCAGAGTGCCATCAAGTTCAACGGCGGAGGTTCGATGTTATCTTTTTTTTTTTCCCCTTTCTTTCTTCGTTCCTCTTGCTGGGATGGGGTTCGAAATATGGCGCTATCATGAAGTGAAATAGAGTATTCGGCTCCACTGTGACTGTCCACTTGATTGTGTTACTAAATCATGTTTTATTGAACATAAGGCTATCATGAAGCGTGAGCTGATGGATATTTTGATACTTATTGATTCAGCTTACTGACGATAGTTGTACAAAGTAATTGAGTTGACCTTGTTTATAATAACTCTTATACTACATCAAAAGGAAGTGAACGACGATTTGGATTTTATTTTTTTTATGCGATGTGGTCAAAACAACAAAGGATTGTATCATTAAGTGCATACTTTTTTTCCTGTGATAATGTTAAGGTAGTTAGAACTCACATACTGAGCGTTTATAGAACATTAAAATTGATTAGCTTATAAATTCTGGCAAGTCCATGATCCATTTACGCGAGTGATTTTGTTATCAAATAGATTGGAATTAATTGATCAATAAAAAGCTTCAGTTTAGTTAAGGACTCAGGGTTAATTCAGACGAAAGCTTTGTTGACAAATGAAGTCTATGATCCATATTCTGTGTTCTTCTTTGGGTTTCAAGACTGTAATGTAGGCCTTATTCACTGGAACTTGAGGATTTATTTGATACCATTGCTATAGTTTCCTTTTTAATTTTTTTAAGGAAAAGTTAGTTATGGTTTCAAAAATGAGCCAAACATTTCTTAAAGAGGGATCCGAGACCTTTTGTCTGTTCTTTTCCTTTTCTTCCCTTAACTAGTTCAATGGCACCATGCTAACCGTCCATGAACAGGTCATATCAATCATTCTATTTTCTGGAAAAATCTGACTCCAATTCGTGTAAGTGTGCAATTATCATTATCATTATTATTGTTATTATGGTTACTTTTGTTTTCAGTAGTTCATTCATCCTAATACTCTGCCTTCCAGGAAGGAGGTGGTGAACCTCCAAAAGGTTCCCTAGGATGGGCTATTGACACTCATCTTGGTTCTTTGGAAGCATTGATACATAAAATGAATGCAGAAGGTGCAGCCTTGCAGGGGTCTGGATGGGTGGTAAGTTTTGCAGATTATAAATTATAAAATATTCATAAATCTTGTGTCCTTGCATGTGGTTATTTTTCCTAGTTATTCTAAGAATTGGTTTGTTCACTTATTGTCACATTGTACTGCTCTTACAGTGGCTTGGTCTAGACAAAGAATTGAAGAGGCTTGTTGTTGAAACCACTGCAAATCAGGTAAACTGCCCTTCCCTTCTCAAAAATTTGGCTTCGGCCAGGAATGCCCCTCCCTTCCATGCCATACAATGCCAAGAGTCAACACAGATTAGTTCTAGGAAAAATAACAATAGTTTCTGTCAAATTGGTTTTACTGCCAACTTTGGCCTTGATTATTGCTGATAAACTTTATAATTTTTATTTTCATTCATTCATTTATTTATTTTTTGTGATCTGACTTTATAGTCTGGGACTAACTTTTAACTCTTTTCTCATGATTCACAATATTCATGTGTGACACATATGATGATTTTTTCTTGATTCTGGTGGAGTTTGCAAATGTTTGCTAAGTGGAAGTATACAAAGCTTGCTATGGTGAATACTAGAGAAGATATTTGTTCATATATTTTTCTTAGGTTTTTTAAGCTTATATTTTAAGAGAAAATTACACTGATCCTCCTTTCTCTTTGCCTTTGCTTTTTTAATATTCACAAATCTCCCCCGAGTCCCTTTATCTTCAAAACCAAAACCTACAAGAACAGTCCTTCAACTCTAGAAACATCACATTGAAGTCCAATTAATTGACGGAGATGTTTTTGGTTCCGTACCAATAAAATTAGATGTAATGATTTTAAAGTTCAAGGTTGGGTTGTGTGAGTTGCGAAAATGGAGGGGAAATTGGAGTCATTTTCTCTATGTGTAATATTGTCCTCAATGTATATGGATTTCTCTGGACATTTTACCTCCATATGTTAAGCATGAACATCTTTGTTGCAGGATCCACTGGTAACCAAGGGACCAAGTCTAGTTCCATTGCTTGGTATAGATGTTTGGGAGCATGCATACTACTTACAGGTAAAAATTTGGAGTTCTTTGTTGGTTACATAAAACCCTCTATTGCAGGATATTTGAGGACTTTTCATTTATTTATTCTTGAATGTTGTTAATCACAAGGTACATAAAGAAGTATCTTGTGTCGACAAATTTATCAAATTTTGGAAGTTTTGCTACCTTTGATTCCATCCATGTGAGAACAAACCATTAATTGTATTGTTCCTGATGCAGTAAATAACTCCAAACCATTTCCAATTGAGAAGAGTTGAATCCTCTGTAATTTGTACGACCTTGAAAAAAATTAAGAAAAAAAAATATATAAATGCATTCTGGGGTGTAAGCATGAGACTTCACATTGTAGGGTTAATAAAGAATTGTTCTCCGAGCAGGGTTTATAAGGAACATTTTGATGCTCTTAAACCAACCCTAATGTCGCTCTGAGCACGTGCTCATGCGATGTGCCTGTTCTCCCCATCATTGTAAAACTCTTATGAGGGCAAAAGTGAGGATGAGAGACCTCGCAGCCAGCATGTTTTCCAGTTTGAAAGAGTACTTATTTTTGGACTTGAATGTTTCTCTCTACACCATCTGTATCAATGTTATTTTGCATTCATTCGCATGATTTGAAAGAACCGAAAGGGCTTCCTAGATCTACATCTTTTTTCATAAGGTTTCCTAAATGCTGCTTTTTGTTCTCGTTGCAGTACAAGAATGTCAGACCGGACTATTTGAAGAACATATGGAAAGTTATTAATTGGAAATATGCCAGTGAAGTGTACGAGAAAGAGAGTTCTTAAAGTAAAGCTCTGGTTGGACAGTGCCCGACATTGCATCTTCGTGGCATCGTTCTGAGATGGAATAAAACGTACCGACAGATGATATGCCATCATTGTCATATCATTTAGGTTGTTTTCCAAGTGAGATGTTTGGTGTATTATATATAACTTCAGAAGAACGAGTAATACACCAGCTGTTCCCTGTGTCTTATGTGATGGTTTGCTCTTTTCTTAAATGGATTTTCCGAGCTCATCTCCGGAATCCGGATATTATTATTCCATTTCTAGTCATGTTTATAAGTGTAGGTATAGGTATGAAAGCTGGCATGGCAGTTGGCATCGTGTTACAAGAAGGCCAATTAGATATGTGAATGAATCCTGAGATGTAGAGAGCCTAGCTGGGAAGAATGAGGGAAGGCTGTCCACAAGGAAAATCAAAGCTCTGGCAAATTAACAACGTAACAAAGAAATTTTAGTATTGATGCTTAGTCTATGGGCATCTTTAGGTAAATTGGGTTTAAAAAAAAAAAAGCACTGTTCACTTTATCATTAACTTTGATTGATGTGGGAGTTTCATTTGATGCAGAGTTTCAAAATATAGTTCAGGAAAGAGACGTAAGAAAGTAATATCGATTGTAAAAGTAGAATTAAATGGAAAATTTACTTTTAAATTCTAGGGCTAGGAGCATTTAGAATTTAAAATTTATTTTTTAGTGTAATGTTCTTTTTTAATTTTTAAAAATAATGTACTATTGTTCCAAACTTTCATCATTAACAAGTGTTAATTTGATTGTTAGCTAAAATTATAAAAAATGATCAAGGTAATATTTTATAATTTTTAAGCCTTTGTCTGTAATTATAAATCTTTTTAATAATTTTTTTGTAACTTTTAAAGTTTTTTTTAATTTTCTAATCAGCTAATTATAAAAGTTAATTTTGTAATTGTAAAAGTAATATGTACTGTTTTTTAAGAAGGCTATTGCAAGTTTAAATTATCATATGCTCTTTCTAGATATATAATTTAAAAATAAAATTATCCTCACACCACAAAAGTAATCATTGAATTCATTTTAAAAAAGGTTAAAAAAAAAATCCTGCCTCTGTCAATATATATTGATAAGTAGTTCTAGTTCTTCTGCCTAGGGGTAAAATAAGCGCAATCTGAAAATATTGACATTTAAATTAAAAATAAAATAAAGTCGATATTTTTGAATTGTGAATAAAATATATTAATTAATAATTGGAATTAATTTATTCAAAAAATAATCACATCTGGATGATAATGTCTATATTTATATCTTTGCATCAGAAATGGAAAATGTCAATTCAATTATATTTTTTTATTTTTTAACATGACTAATGTATATTGAATTATTCTCAATTTCTAATGATTTACTTATCAGCAAATCAATTTTAAAAAATTCTCTTAGATTGTATATCAGACGCACTAATCGGAGAATTTGCACATCAGGTTTCACATTAATTTTAACGAAATTGCCAAAATTATTTTTTTCCGTAATAAATGGCTAAAATTCTATATACATTAATCTTTGCATATTAGCAAGAAATTTTTTAATTTTTATCTATTGATTTTATTTACCTGGATTAAACATATAAATGCCTGGATCTCAGAAAGCGTCATTCAGGCCAGACAAATGATGTGCAAATACACCCGACCCGATTGGTGATGGCACCATATATAATGTTTGCCCCTTTCAAACCCTAATCTGCTATCTTGCGGGCAGCACTTCAGAAGCCCTAGATAGAGACGACCTGCCTGTGAGCTTCAGATCTCTACTGTAACCATGGTAAACTCTTAGCTTTCTCTTCATCTTGGTCTGGTCCACCTTCTTTCTCATTTGCATTCACTTTCTCCTAAATCCTCTTACAGACATTCAAGAGAAGGAACGGCGGACGCAATAAGCATGGGCGTGGACATGTTAAATTCATTCGATGCTCCAACTGTGGTAAATGCTGTCCCAAGGTATTCGGCATTTAATCGCAGTAAATTGTTTCTGGTTTCCTTTGAATTATTTATAACCTCTTCTGCATTCAATTGTTCCTAGCAGAACGATTTTCATTAAACACACTTCACATATCGCTCATGCATTGTGCTGGCTCATGTTTGACTTCCTGTTTCCTGGCTATTAGATCTTTACTTTCGTTGAATTTATTAAGGCCGCGATTGAATGTTCGCTATCTTTAAGTATTTGTGAATCTGTGAAGTTGTGGTTTTTGACATCTGCTTTTTCTGATTTTCGTGGCAAACAGGACAAGGCAATCAAGAGGTTCCTTGTGAGGAACATTGTTGAGCAAGCCGCTGTTAGGGATGTTCAGGAAGCTTGTGTCTATGAACGTAATGATCTTTTCCTTTCTTTCTGGTTTTTTGTTCTTACGTGTATCTTATCTTCTACTTTTACTGATTATTTATCATTCTGTAGAATACACGCTCCCCAAGCTGTATGTTAAGATGCAATATTGTGTTTCCTGTGCTATTCATTCGCATGTTGTGAGAGTTCGCTCTCGCACTGATAGGAGGAACCGTGAGCCTCCACAGCGCTTCATCAGGCGCAGGGTATGTTAATTTTCTGTCGCATCCGTCAGATTTGTTGATTAAGTTTAGGTATTATTGTTTTAATCCTAGGTCACTGACGTTATTATAATGGTCAAAATGACATAATTCTTGGATTGCTAAAGTCTGTTGTTTACATGTTACCTTCAAAAGCCTCTTCTCCTCCCTTCTCCCTGAACGAGCATTTGACTGCAAAGGCTAATTTGAGATTGATTACTAAATTTTGCGAGTGATAATTAATACGCTAAATCTCAATAAGTTGCCCTTGACCTCCTTCTAAGTATCAATGCATGATTGAAAGCTGAGCAATACATTTGAAACCCGCAACTAAATCTATTTGGCACATAGATATCTTTTCTTTGTCTATTTGGTTCATGATATCAATGAGCAACCCCGTTGGAGCTCCCTAATTTCCCCATCAATAAGGAAACCTCATTCGTTCTCTCACCTCTGGTCTGCGATTATTGCCCTGTTTATTGGTTAATTTTGCGTTTCTTATAGTGAACTGTAATTTTTATTTAATATTATACTCTTTAAGAGTTTTCAGCTATTTCTTAACTTGTTTCGTTGTTTCATTGATTTTTAGTAGTAGGGTTTATTTACTTGTGGATCCTTATCGGGTTATGAGCCTAGGAAGTTGTCTTTTGATGCTTGCATATTAGAATTATTTGGTTGATAATTTTACATCGGGGATTTGTGTTATATTACAATGCATGTATGTGAAATTGTAATTTATTTCTAAGTGATACTATCCTCCCTTTGTTGTCATTTATAGTGTTGATAATTGACATGCTGCTGATTTTTGATGAAATTTATTGTTTTCGTTTGAAGGATGATGCACCAAGACCTGGTCAACCTGGTCAAGCACCTCGTCCTGCTGGAGTAGCTGCTGCTCGCACTTGAAAGCAGTTCTAGAATTTTAGTTTTGTTGAACGCCATGTGAGAAACTTATTTCTGTATGTTTTGATTCTGGAAATTTCAGTTTTGCTTGTTGAGGATGCTTTGTTTTTTTAAAATTGTCTGGCTTACTACGCTTGAAGATACTTGTCCGACCCATAATTTGATCTTGATGAGAATGGACCTAGAGAAATCATATAAATTATCTCAAGTGTTATGAGTCATATAACCAGTGGCTTCAACATTTGGCCCTCTTGCGACGAAATGGCAGCTAGGAAAGTTGTTCGTCTCTTTAGGCTGTTATTTCTTACCCTGAATCAAATAAATAGTTCTCCTAAAAATGATGATATACTGTTTTTGCACTCGGCCTCTTTTTATGTGATCTTGATATTGTTTTTTGGTGGAAGAAAATTTCGAGGATTCTAATGTATACAAGCAACAAGAACGGCGATTTGTGCTGTGTATGACAGTAAAATATCTTGTTCTGGTTGCATTGAATGCTTCGGGAGATTTAGGAGGCTTTGACATGGTTTATTTTCTTAAATTTTGATGTACCAGTGGATCTCTTCGGGTACCTATTCACTGTAAACCACTAGCTGGATAGTAACCGTGAGTTGGTTACATGATACAAAACAAAATATGCCGGGGAGATCATGAATAATCATATAATGCGTACGGAGACGGAAGGCTGCTTGTGTTCAAATTAATTACCTGGCATCCAATATGCTGTTCTTGAATTTGGTATTGGCCGTCATTTTCAAAAAAAAAAAAGAAAAGAAAAAATCATTACTGAGCACTCACCATGGATTTCGACCAAGAATTCAATTTAAAAATCTTTTAGATTTCTTTTTTTAAGTTCATAATGTATTTTTATAACGCAAGTCAGGCGTTATTTGAGGAAAAAAGTTTATTTAATGTAATCATGTTTTTAATTCTTTACACGATGATAAAAATTTAAATTGCATGATCAATTTTTTTTTTATTTTGCATTTTTTTTGTTTGTCCCAAGAATTAGGATTTCAACTTTAGTTGTTATGATTTATGTTATGTTTAAATTTATTAATTATATATATAAGAATACTTCTATAAAAAAATTTAAATGAGTTTTCCAGCCTGGCCTTAAACCTTGATTATTAGTCTTGTATTGAAAATTGCTTGATTCGAGAGAAGCGAGACTTTAGGATTCAAGTCATTTCCCAACTCATTTCCCGACTCTACTAGTTGAAATGACTTGTTACCCAAAAGCTCTTTTATTAGACTTAAATAGTGAAGTCATTCAAGGCTAGTTCGGGTAATAAAAATGGGGTTTGAGACGCGGGTTAAAAATAATAAGTGTTCAAACTAGCATATAAAGAGAAAAGCAGGTTCCTCTAAACAAACGTTGTTTTGTTAATGCCATCTTAGTCAATCTCAGCCACAGCATCAAATGATCCTTCGTTCCTCAATATAACGTTGCCTCTGGCTCTCTCGTGTTATTTCCTCATTGCCCATGACACTAATCAGTAATCCCCGAAACTGGCCATTATGAAGCTAGTTTAGATACGGCGACAACACATCAACACATACATTGGGGGGGGGGGGGGGGGGGGGTGGTGAATGAGCCACTTGTTTTAAGTATGCAGTCAACTTCGACATATATATATATATATTACATATATATTTCATTCAAAAATCACAACTAAATTTCTAACACTTGAGTGCAATTTAAAATTAAGATAAAAAAATAATAATATCCATATTAAATATATATATTATACCAGTCAAATAATTTATGATTACTTCTTCGATCCTATATATTAGTTACCTTCTAAAAATATAATATCATTCACTTTATAAGTTACTAATTGATATGATCGTTTTGTTTAAAATTGAAATTTCTAAATTATCCTTAAAAATTAAAAGAGAAAAAGATAAAAAATATTATATTATTTATTTACTTTTTACTTTACTTGACGGTTATATTTAAAATTTTACTTACTTTTATTCTTTATACTTTTGTTATATTAGTATTATTGATGCTGATAAAAATGACTAGAATTAGAGGAGTACTTCATTGATATTTTACAATTATAACTTTAATATTTTACAATTGTAACTTCATATATTCAATAATTAATTTAATTATTGAATATATGAAATTATAATTATAAAAAGTTAAAGTTATAGTTATAAATTATGATAAAATAATTGTTAACAATTAATATTAAACTATATTAATAAAACATAATTGTCTAACTATTGAATGAAAAATTGCAATTATAAAAAGTTAAAATTATAGTTGTAAATTATTAATAAAATAATTGTAAATTATTTGATTCATATAATATATGTTTAATAAAGATATTATTTTTTCTACTTAATTTCAAATTACACTTAAATTTTAAGAGATTTGATTGTGATTTTTGAATTTTATAAAACTTTTTGATAAATAGGTCTGCACCACAGGACCTACATGTGCTTTTCCCATAAATATTTTTGACACCTCAACATTCGTGAAACTTCCCCCAAAAAAAGAAAAGGTTAAAATATCTTTAGTACTGTAACATCTGACTCTTCTTCTTCTTCTTCTTTTAACTGGTAAATTAAATAAAAACTTGATCTTACTTGGCAGTAACAAGAAGAAAGCAAAGGTAAGAGCATGTATCTCACCTACAAATCTAAAAGAAGATATTTCAGAGACGAACAAAACACGTCATCAATGCAGACAAACCTAGTCCTTTACTCGAAGTCCGTCAATTCTTTCAATCCAATATTGAGTCTCCAGTTTGCAACAACAGTGTGATCGGCCTACTTCGTTCACCGAGCGCCTGACCATTTAGCTCGTTTTCAGTCAGGCATCAACCAGTGCATGCAGCGATAACATTAAGCACTCTTCAACAACCACTGACCGGTAACTTGGGCCCTTAAATCATTCAGCAGTTCGAACCAATAGTAGTTCCTTGGCAATACTGATGCACTCAGTCATGGGACAATTCGTCTTGATAGCATTGCTGGCTATGTGAGACCTGCTGGCAGCAAACCCCTTCTGCAATTAAACCAACAACAGAAGAAATTAGTTTCGGATCTCTGAAGCTTGCATATAAAGCCAACATGAATCACACTTGACCACATTTTCACGTCAAAATAAACCAGAGTAACAATGACAAAATGAAATATCGTTTCTTCTCATTTTCATGAGAAGATATTATATTTCGTTCTAGTTTTACAACTTCTCTTCCTCACTCTCATTATTCTTTTTCCAAATAAAAATATCAACAGCTACTTCCATAGGCCTAAGAAGTCATGAACGAAAACTATCACAAACTTTTCTCAGTGGAAATCAGCTCAAGACAAGTTCCAGAACCTCAAAAATAAATTAACTTGAGAATACTTCAAATCTTTAATGGACTATTATTATCATTATTGTTTTGTATTCATATGAAACTCCTCGTGTTTGATGCATTGGACAACAACTTTATGCAGAGAAATGAATTATATGTTACATACAAGGGCATATCTTATACATCAAGTTTCATTAAGTGGTTCTTTAAGTCAAGCAACACAAGAATGCAGCTCGAGACAGTATAAAGTTTCAATTGATACATCAATTTCTTGAACCATCCATCTGATAACCTGTCTGTTGTTGTCATGCAAGGCATTCTGAGGTTTTTTTTATAGTTTTGATGAGCTATACTTGCTAGCAAGTTAAACATACTCCAGCTAGTGCATTTTGGTTACTGACTGGATGAGGTCAGTGCTATTTATACTTTCAAACAAGCTCATAGAAATCTACTAACAAACTCTTTTCACAAGCTTGTTGGAATTTTGCATAGCGAGGCATCCTTATTCTTGAGCGAGAGTTGTTATCTAAACTAAGCGGTAATCCAAGACCAATTTCTATTCATTAGAAAATATAACCAAACAAAATTGGTTTGAGCTTTGATCTAAATATCTCCTTTTTCTATTTTTCTCATATTTCTTTTTACTCAAGAGGGATGGGAATTGTTTTGAATGTTCCATTTCTTTAATCACTTCTTTTGTAATGCAACAAGTCCAGTTTTCTATAGTTATTTCATCATAAACTTACACTTAGTATGAGGAAGAGGTTATCAAAGACGATATATGATTTTAGACAACAAAACAACGCGTTAAACAAAGATAAATGGGATAGCAGAAGAGAACCTTATGGATGGCACTCATCAAGGTCCTCAGAGGAGGAGAATTCATTTTTGCACGACTTGCCATCTGGACGTATGGAAGAGAAACCACCATAACAAGTCATTGTACAAAACAGGATCAATAAAATTAATTTACTATGCCACAGAGAGGACACTTCAACAAAATCATTAAAAAAAGGACCTCATCCAACTTGATGTATCCAAATGGCAACTTGGGGTCACTTTCATCCATCATCAGTTTAATAAGTTTTCCGAGATTGTCCATGCCGTCAACCCATCCCCACTGCTGGGCAAGATATAACATGTCCATAAGATATGCGGCATCATGAAGAGGTCCTGTCCATAGTGGTCCTGAAACCACCAGGGAGGTAGAAACCTGAAAAGAGAAAAGAAATTGAAAGCACCTTATGCATCCTGACATCCGAAATGACATTTATTAATTAACTAATGTAAAAATGAGCATATGAACAGACTCTGTCTTTCTGTAAGTCAAATATGGTAACCTAGATAGCATTCTATATGATCCTTCATAATCTTCCTGTTTCTATTATGCATGACATTCATTATAATTGGTTTGTGGCCTGTCAGGCCCAGGAAAGAATCTTTGCTCCTTATCCAATTAAACCACATGCTCTGACAATTCCATAAGCCCCCACTTCAAGATGAGGAAAAAGTACTTTCGATAATACAAATCCACTGAAGATGTATTTCATATTGTAATTGTATTATAGTATTGCTAGCAAGTAACAGCAGATTCAGAAAAGAAGAGTAATGAATGGACTTGGGAAAATTTAAGTCATTCACATGTTGCAATACCTTTCTCATCATGATTCAAACAAAATAAACATACATGTTATCCGAAGTCAGAATAATAACTTGAGAAATAATTGGCAAACAACATTCCATGATAATAAAATTAAATGTTACAAGATAGCACGCCAACTTAAAAAGTATAAACTTTGGAATAGCCTCTAAAGAGTTAGTTTCAAGAAAAAGCAGACCTTACCTTTGAATTACTGCAGGAGCAACTGAGCTGGCCAAGTTCATCCCATGAAAATTCTTTGGAATTTCCGCACTGGTGGCAATAGCCAATAAAGCCATAATGTCTACAGTAATAAAGATAGTTATAAATAAGAGATGGAACGCAAAAATGAAATAATAAGATGTAACACGCACACTGTCATAAAAGCACCTATTGTTATGAAGCTTCCCACGATTTAATCTCAGCAAGACTCGGAAAACAGGTCCATGATAAGCATAGTACGAAAATAAAGGTGTAATATGATAACCCAACACCGCAGCCTCTCTTGCAGCCCCACCTATAAGCATGCGTAAACCAACCTCATTCGAATATGGCATAGGGCGCACATAAGCTCCATATGCAGCTAAAGAACTAGCGAGAAAAATAAAATGTTATGGACTACAAACTGATGGCACAAGGTTAATACAACAGAACATGTGACAGCCGATAAAACATGCTTGGCACAAAGAAGTTGCCCCACAAGCACCATTCAATCACCATAATTGTCAAATGTCCACAAATAAACATTCACGAGAACATGGTTCAAGCACACGCACCAAAGCAAAGAGTGATCGAAATAATCACATTATGTAATCAGAAACGTTCGACAACAGATAATTAAGAAAAAGAGTTTCAATAAGGATATAAATGACTACAATTGCATTATGAACAACACTACAACCAAAATAGAAGATACAAATCTTACTGATGAGGACGGTGGCCACCAGACGAATAGCCATCGGTTGAAGTAACATAGAGCAACCCGCCCAATTTCAAAGAGATAATAGCAGACCGCAAGAAAGAAGAATCGCTGCCAAATGAATCGATGTCAATGAAGTCAAAGAAATTCTTCTGCAAATAGTAATCTGTCATGACACGATTAGCTTCTAAATGAGTAATTTCCCATCTCCGTTCATTCTCTGAACAGTTATTTGCCCTTGACAAGTTCTCCACTATAGTGCTTCTATAACTGTCATTCCCATCGTTTGCCACAACAAAATCCGCACCGGCTTCTTCGAGGTACCGAAGCGACCGTATTCCACAGCCACACAATGCGTCAAGAACACGCAAGCTCCCATTTGACTTCTTGTGGAGAGCGGCGGCGAGCACGCCGAGGTCTCGGCCGGTAGCGCTTTCGCTCCGGAAAAAGGCCTCGCCTGTCTCAAATTGCAGGCCCCTTTCAGTTTGATACTCACATTTGCATTTTCTGTTAAATTTGAGCTTGAAGGAGAAGTTAGAATCATGGAATAAAGCTTGAGCGATGGGGTTCAAAGAAAATGGGGAAGCAGATAGGGTTTTAGGAGCGAGAGTCAGCATGGCGGGAAATGGGCTGGTGATTGGGCAAAGGTAACCGTTTATCGGATTTGTGCAGGTGATGCTGAACACGTAATCTGGGACCCACATGGGATAATGGAAATCAAGGGGCGTCCAGTCCTCTGCGCCAGGATCCACAAGCCCACCAATGATTAAACGACGTCGTTTCCGCGTGATTCCTCCCAATGCCAATCTGCATCCTTTCCAGCTCATTTGAAAACGATATATTGAATAACTTGTCATTAAAAAAATTAATTTAAATTATTAATTTATTTAAGATTGTAGAAAATTATTTTAAAAATTATAGAAAATTATCTATAAAATTACATATAAGTATTTTGTAAGAAAATTAATACTTTTTTATTAAAAAATATAAAATATTTTTAATCATTTCACATCCTAATAAAATAGTTACTCGTTTTCAAATTAATTTTATATTTTAATATTTATTTCTATTTTATTAGGTATTTGGCCTTAAAATAAATATAAAGTGATTTATTTAATAAAAATATTTTTTAAAAAAGAAATGATTATATCTTGAAAAATTAAAAATATTTTAAATTTTTTAATATCCAACCTTTCATTTTTTAACAGAGAGAGCACATTTAATTTCACTGAAATACATATGAATAATATGATATAAATGCTATTTCTTACCTAAGTAAAAAGCTAAAATATAATTTTGACCAACTATTATTTTAAAAACTTAGTTGATATTAATTTTCTCATATGATATACTTATTTGCAATTTTATAGGTTATTTTCTGTAATTTTTTAAAATAAATTATAATTTTTCAATCAACTAACAATAAAAGCCAATGTTTTTAATGACTAGATGCCCATTGCATTATTTTTAAATATTGAAAGAAAAAATTACACCACATATAAGTTTATGATACTCGACACTCTTGAACAAATAATTGAGGAGAAAAAAATACCCTTTAACCATATGTTTATTATCATTGATTAAATATTTTTATAAATAGTTCATAATTTTTTGTGGTAGTTATTAAATAAATAATATATTCAATTTAATGTTATAATCCTTAGATCAAATAAACAATTAAATGGACAAGTAAAATTAAATACAGGGAGACTGTGGGGAGATGTAAATCCCGCCAACGAGCTTTGGTTTGGATGAGGCTACTTCCTGGCAGAAGCATACTTCACATTTGAACCATTTTCCCGTCACTATTTGCCCTTTCGGTGAAACCAATTTCGATAAAGAAGCTCTTGTCCTTGTTCTCCTAAATTGCATTCTCCGTTTGATTCATGTAATGCATGGGAAGCATTATAAAAAAAAGATATCATTTTCCTTCAAGTTTAATTCATTTTACATCGCGAACTAACAATAGCATTAATTGATTAGCTTGACATGTCTTGTACATAAAATAGGAATTGAGTGAACTATAATATCTTGATTTCTTGATTATGAAACTTATTGTTAATTAAGAAAAAAATTAGTAATTAGTGAGTGATTATGATTTTTGAAATATTTGATATTTAAACTTTTTGGAATATTAGATGAGCAAATGTCGATGAAAGAATCAAGTTGTGAAGTGAAACGGATTTACATAGTGAGGATTTTTTTCGTTATGCCACTCGTCACGGCTAATGCCGCTTGCGCTGTGGTACACGACACTAAAAGTTGCTTTAAATGACGTGAGAAGATCATGACTTTTAGAGATGAAACTAGACAATTTCTTGTATGTTGCACGGGTTGAATTTAAAGAATTTAAAACAAACGCCTTGAATACTGTTTATATTGGCATATCTAAGAATATTTTTGAAAGGTTTTCTATTTAATTATTTTTCTTCTTCTTAAATATTTTGTTCACATACATCATGTCTTTATTTTTCAAGCCTATAGTAAATTATAAATATAGTTTGAAAATTGAATTTTTGATGATTCCATCATATATGATTATGGCGCGAAAGCTTCTGAAAAGGTATCCTTTCATAATATGTACTTCTTTATATTTGAAATATATAAAATATAATTATATTTCTTATTTTGATTTCATGTTTATCGCTTATTGTCAGAAAAATTACAACACAAATGTTTTTTTTATTGAAATTGTATATAATTTTATGTCTAATAACTTAAAAGTGTGAGAATTAATCTTTGTAAATTGCTAAGGTTTTATACAATAAAATTATAAATAATAATATAGATATACCTAAGTAATATAGATAAACACTCATCAACAATATGAAAAAGTTATACAAATCGATACATTTTTATTCCATTTTGTGATAGTGGAGTACAAGATAATTTTCTACCATCAAGTACAAGTGACAACAAAGATGCTCGCCAAAAGGTACAACAAACTTTCTCAGATACTCAAACCCATGTCATTAGCACTTCATGAAAAATTTGAGACAGATAGAGTTACTACTCTCATAAAACTTGAATTTTATATTTAAAATTTATAATGAGATACATGAATTTCTAAAGAAAGAGATTGGAGAATATTAAGAAATGCAAAATAAATGGAAAAGCTAGGACAGATAAAGTTGCTGCTCCCATAAAACTTGAATTTTATATTTAAAATTTAACAATGAGATACATAAATTCTTAAAGATAGAGATTGAAGAATATTAAGAGATGTGAGATAAATGAAAAAGATGAGATGAATGGAGTTACTGCTCCCACAAAACTTAAATTTTATATTTAAAATTTAATAATGAGATACATGAATTTTTAAAGATAAAGACTGAAGAATATTGAGAAATGGGAGATAAATGAAAAGGATGAGACGGATAGAGTTACTGCTCCCATAAAACTTGAATTTTATATTTAAATTTAATAATGAGATATATGAGTTATTAAAGATAGAGATTGAAGAATAGTGAGAGACGTGAGATAAATAAAAAAGCTGAGATGGACAGAGTTATTGCTCCCGTAAAATTTGAATTTTATATTAAAATTTAATAATGAGATGCATGACAAATAAAATAAACCAATGAGTGAAAAGAATTAAAATTTAACTAAAGTTAATTAACTAATAACATCAAAAAATTCTAACCAATCAATAACCTTCTGTGTGTGTGTGTGTGTGTGTGTGTGTGTGTGTGTGTGTGTGTGTGTGTGTGTGTGTGTGTGTGTGTGTGTGTGTGTGTGTGTGTGTGTGTGTGTGTGTGTGTGTGTGTGTGTGTGTGTGTGTGTGTGTGTGAAGGAAAACACAAAAAGAGAGGTTAAAGAGCCCAAGTTCTGCTAAGGCATCAAGCATTGGAACATTGCGAGAAGTTTTCAACTTATAGTTTATCAGGTAAATTTCGTATCATCTTTAACTTCAATTCTACTATAATTTTTCTTTGTATAAGTTTTAGAAAAATTGAATTAGGAAATTTTAAAGAGTTTTGTCTTACTTTTTTTTAATGAAAAGGTTCTTCAAAATCAAACTAAGATTTTGCAACTAGTTCAAAGTTAAGCAACAAAGCTTAAATCTATTTGCTTAAATTAACCTCAAGCATGAAGAAAAAGGAGTGGAAATTTGAGTAGAAATGTAATATGATATATAGAAGTGATAGAAATGAGTGATTGGGAGATAATGAGTGTAAATTGGCTAAGTGAAATGAAAGAAATAGTTAAATGTGGTTTTTAGTGGTAATTAGTGCTTGTGATCAATTGGGTTAATTGACTAATAATGCTAATTATGTGTAGATTTTCTTATTGTTAAAAAATCCACAGGTAACTTATTTTATGATAGAAGGGTTAAGATAACTGAATAATTTATTTTATTTAACAGTCTAATGTAACTATTTAAAAGTATTGTAACTATCACATGAAATTCTTTTTTTTTAGCAAACACATGAAATTCTTTTAAATTATGCATAATTTAAGACAATGCATGATTGTTGCATGAAAAATGAATTCAATTAAATAAATGTGTGGAATATATATATATATATATATATATTATGACAAACAAGTGGCTTGGATGATAGCATAATCATAAGGGTAGGAGTTTATCCGTAGGGAGAGTAATGAGAAGTTCATATGGCATTACTCTCCTTAGTGCTCTATAAGATATAGTGTTGGAAAATTTCATCTCCTTAGTGCCTGTTAGGATGCGATGTCGGAGATTATCTTCTTCGTGCCCATGTTGGATGTGGTGTTAGAGATTAGAGCTCCTTAGTATCTATATGATATAGTGTTGAACAACGATGCCTCGATTATTGAGTATGATAGGGGAAAACTATAATTTGAAAGTAAGACAGAATACTTTTTGGCCGGATGATTCCACCACTGAAAGTGTGTTTAAATCAATAAGTGTGTATTGACCTAATAAGAGTATATGATTTTAGTTAGGGTGATACAGAGATTTGGATAATAGTCGATTATACTAATAGTGGTGAATTGTTGTGAAAAGTGATTTTATGAAATGATATTATATTCTATATTTTATTTGACTATATGTGTGTGTGTGTGTGTGTTATACTTGCTTATAGTTACATGTGATAGTAGTAGTACGTTATTTTGTTATTGAAATTATTATCTCACTATATTATTACATTTTACAAGTCAAAGTAATGAGCTAGGAAAAGGAAAGGATGTTGGACTGGCATAGTAGAGGTATCGCTATGAGATCTTGAAGTTTATGTAATAAACTTAATATGTTATACATTTGTATATGAGTAAGTTGCTATAAGATGCCATATGCATATTTGGAACTGTGACTTGTAGTGATTTTGAGAATCTTAACCTAATGTGTGTGAAAATACGATTGATGTAGGGAATCGTGTGATATAGGCTAAGATTTGATTGAAATTATATGGTGAAAGTATAAAAGGTGATTTTTAGGGTTAGTTTTTGTGAAATTTGATCATGGGTTGAGATAGCTTTTTGTGTATATTTAAATATGTTGACAGTGGTGAACTTGTGTAGAAGTTATGAATAAAATGGCTAAGAACATATTGTTGTGTTCAATTGTAAGAATAGTTTTTGATGTAAAAAGGGGCGAATGAATGGCCAAATCTTAATTTATACGTACGTATGTTGTGATTATTGTTCAATCAGGTGTGTTAGGTCCTTTTGGACTTGGTTCTAAGGCCAAATCGACTTAATGAGACAAAGTATGCGATTTGAACACTTTGGTAGCTTTTGGAAAAGAATGACTTCTTGCACCCTGAGTATTCAAATTAGATCGGACCGGTAGATTATTTCTAAGTTTGTCTCATTAGTTAACCTATGAAATAAGCTTCATGTGAACATTTGAATCACTTCAATTTGATGGCATATATGAAAATGGAGCACACCGAAAATTCATCTCAATAAACTATCATATGACAATGAAATTTTATCATGTGCGCCACAGTGCACGACACAGAATGGGAAGCTGTGGCTCTGTGTCACATGCCACACTGTATGTGATGCATGCCGTGGCTTACTGCCCAATTTATAGCCTTATTTTCTCTTGTGTTAATGCATGTATTTGGTGTGATGAATGCTGCTAGTTATCTTTTATTGTGTAATGTATAATATTTTTCGATTTCAAATGATTTTAACAAAGAAGTCTTAGGTTCTCAAATGCTTTCAAGTAAATTTACTTGATTTCACTTTGGTATAGTGATGTGGAAATTAAGTTAATCTCTCTTTATACCATATATATGATGAGACTATAGTCTGATATGGGAAAATGTTACATGAACAACTCTAACATTTATGCACTAATGATAATCAAGATGGAAATGAGTGTAGTGCCAAACAAAGCCTTACATACTATCAAGCTACAAAGGAATGCCTTATGATTGATTTAAATAATTAAATATCTCTCTATACACAATGTTTAAAGTTGTTTTCATTGACAAGTTATCTATGTCGTGTATAAGAATCTTCAATCTATCAATGCTTCAAACTCTATAAAGACCAACATATAATTGACCATATGTGAAGAATAGTTCAGGAAAGTATAAACTAATATGTTATAAAGATTGTCATTAACTCTTGTTGATTATCATAGTAAACAAAAGAGTGACAGGAAACTATCTTATCTACATTTATAATGGTCATCTACTTTCTAAATGATTTATATGCATCATATAGACAAGCATTTCTCATTTGGCTTTGACTTAGTTAACGCTATGGCTTTAGTAACACTTGTTCTAAGCTTAGTTATTCTTAATTTGATACCACTACATAAACCTAAAACTCAGTCAATGTTCTTAAGAATTATTACTGGTAAACCAACCTTTAAGCTTAGCTTGCCATGAGGTAACCCTGAGCTTGAAATTAAATTTAGAAATTTTGTCAAATATAAGTGATCAAAGCTATCTTGATCTTGCATTGATTTGCAAATTGTGCCACAACTCAAGAATTCATTGGGTTTTCCTGACAACAAAAACACAAATAGTCATTTACATTATTAACTGTCTCAATTATAGGCACAAGTATTATTTTGTTATCAAAATACTTATTGTTTGATAAGTTATCTAGTATTTGAATAAGTTGCATTAACAATGCCTTACAATGAATATTTGTCATTTGTTATTAATAGCTTATGTGGAATATTAATTTCAACTGTGCCATCATAGGTAAGCCTAAATTTCCATCACTAACGTCTAATACTCACTTAGAAAAATTTCTTACCTTAATGTCACCTACATGCAAAGAATCTGAATGCAATCTCAATGTTTTAGTGAGATAAAATATTTCGCAATAGCATCACAAATGAGAAGAACTAATGCAAGCATTTACAACACTCGCTCATGTATCTTTTGTTATAATAAGTAGTATTTGCATGAAGTCACCACCTATTAATAAGCATTTCCTTCCAAAGACATTGCTGCATTGCATTATGTCTCGATGTATGATTGAAAGTTTTAATACAGTATCTCTAAACTATAGGAGCTTCATCCCAAATAATAATTCAAGTGGTTTGCAATAAATATGACAACATAAGAGTTATGTGAGATATTGTAGACTAAATTTTCTGTAATTTGAAGTGGTAAAGCAAACTTTGAGTGTGTTGTTCTTCCAGATGATATGACAAATAAGCTCTCATCTTTATTCCCCTTAATTGCATTCTCTATTTGATTCAATTTATGTCTCTTGACATTTTCGAGTTGTGTTCATTCACACACACTCTGGTTTTGATTCCAAAATGAATTAGAAAAAGAATCAAATTACGTCCAATTTGGTATTTTTCCATTTTGCATGCCTAGTCTAGGAAGGGGTGGTGGCAAGTATAACTCATTTGTACTTGACAATGTGAGGTACTTCTATGTTGACATTTTTTTTGTCCAATTAGCAAATCTACATGGTTTCCTTGATCAAGTTTTTGTTGCTTGTTGATATGTTATCTGTGCCAAACAAGTATCTTTTTTCCACCAAAGAGCATGTATTAACAAACTAACAAAGCATTTACAAGCAAAAGCTAAGATCAAAACTACACTCAAACCCTTGATCAAACTCCACCTCTTATAATCAAGAATGGATGGGGGTTGCTTAAAAGTGTAAAAATCATCGCTAGGATCTAAGGTTAATTTAGAAAATGTATCAGTATTAAGGTTGCATTCTTTAAACAGATATTTTCAAAGGGTTATGAAACTCCTTCAGAAGATTGTTGAATAAATGTAAATTTTAAAATTGGTCTTGATCAAAACTAGGTTTAGTTGATCATGATTTTTGTTTAATTTAAAAAATGTTAAAATTAAATAATAAATATGCACCCATTACACACAAATACATATAGCATTTTTTGTTTTGCGTGAAATAACTAACATCTTAAAACGTGGTTATGTTTTTAAAATCTGAACTAGAGACTTTATGAAACTTTCTTTTCAATTTAATTTAAGGTCCCATTGGCAAGGTTGTTAAATTTGTGATTTTGAATAAACTTATAATAGTGATGTAAACTCAAAACATAAACTTAGATTATAAACTCACAAGACTTTACTTTTATTGCAATTTTTAAAAATATATGATTAAATAATTAAAATATAAAATATGATCATAATTTAATTTAAATTTAAATTATTAAAATTAAATCTATATATATTCATAAATTATTATATTTGACAAAAAAATTGAAAATAAGGCAACTTTTTTTTGGTTTTTTTAATATTATTTTTTTAAGTTTTATTTTTTATTGAACTAAAGCCTATTACCACTTTTGTGAACTAAATTTTATATAGTATATACATATCTTGCCCAACAAATTCATAAGTGAATTTGCACGATTTTATAAGTCAGAAATATAAAAACGATAAACTTAAAAAATCAATTCATGAGTTTATCCAATTTTATCTAGTCTGAATTTAGAAGCAAATTAACATATTTTTGTAAACTAAAAATATAAAAATCATAAATAGAATTAACTTAAGAGTTTAAGAACAATGCTTTGTTGGTGCTTGATTGTATATTATTGTATTGATGTAAGGGTTAAAGATTATTTTTATCCCTAAACTGTACATGAAAGCTTAGAAATGACCTTAAAGGTTAATTTTATCCTTCGACCTCAAAATTTGGCTTCCTTCATGCCTCTAGTGTTAATTATCCATTAGCGAGGCTCACATGATTTTTTTAAATATTTTTAATAATAAAATATAATAGTGGGACTTACTTAATATTTTTTATTATATTTTTTTGGTTAAAGGTCAAAATATCCTTCAACTAAGCGAAAAGAGTTAAGGTCACCCTTAAAGTCAAGAAAGGGTCATTTATATCTCTTAACCGCTAAGATTTAATTTTGAATATTTTTTATAGTTTTAAAAAATACCCTTCTCTCTTCTCCCCATTCTCCTTCTCTCCTCTCTCTACCCCCTCATTCCTCTCTCGTTTGCTCATTCTTGGATTGAAGCAAGCAGGGTACCAACAACAAAGCACCCAACATGCTGATTGTAATCTTATTATCATTGTGAATGGTCAGGCTAAAGAGTAAATTAGAAGCATGTTCCTATAATGGTTGGTGGAGTTTTGGCATCATTTAGTAATGGCAAATTTAAAAGCTAGGTTAGGAATTACGGTAGAAAAATTGAGCTTGGAGCCATTGGAGAGCAGTGACATGAAGTTTAATTTTTACAAGCTTAAATAGAGACGTGCTCGAAGATGTGGCTTGAGCCCTTAAGAGACCTACTAAAATTATTAAAAAAATGGAGAGACCCACTAAAAAGATAAAAAAATTAAATGTAGGCTCTACTAAAGTGAAAGTTGACAAAATAGATGGTAGGGTGATAAAATAAAAAATATTAGCAACTGATGGATATAAATGACTTTTTCCTGACTTCAAGGGTGATTTTAACTATTTTCACTTAGTGGAGGGACATTTTAAACCCTTAACTCCATAAAAAAAATGATAGGACCTATTAAAAATTCACAATACGGATCTCACTAAAGATAAAATTTGATGAAATAAATGATAAGGTAATAGAATTAAAAAATTTAGTGGTTGAGAGATATAAATAATTTTTTTTTTTTTAACTTTAGGGGATCCTGACATTTTCTGAGTGGTATGTTAAACCGTTGACCCTTGATAGGATGGTGCCTGTCCATTTCCTTTGGCCAAGGACCAGAATGTTCAGACAATAGATAGATAACCCCTGTGTCGGAAAAGCAAATGGAAGCTCATCCCAGAGTTGCGCGACGACCTCATGACCCCCATCACGGGCCAGCACCACCATTGCACTGAAATTGGAGAGATCAATGTTCAGCCACTCAACCTTTCCCTATTCGAGCTTCAGACTAGAAGCTGGTGATCTAACTGATGAGGCTTGTCAAACGACGTCGTTTTTGTCATTTGTTGCTGGGGTCTTATATTAGCCGTTAGTAGAGGATTAGGACGCCCATGAAAGGATCTTGACAGTTGACACCTCAGAATCTGAGCTCCCAAGGTCCAAACTTGCGGGTTGCGGGGGCCACCCGCATCAATGGTTTTGAAGAAATTTCTTCATTGTCGGGGATTGAGGATTAGGGTTTTAACTTTTGAGAAAATCTACTGCTTCGCCATTGATGACAAGGATGTTCTTCTATTGTAGTTTTTCTGAGCGCGGATGCGCAGAACTTTCAACGGAATTGGCTTCAGAGACGCAACCAGGTGGGACAAGCAGAAGGAAAAAGCGAGCAAATTGTTCCCTTTATTGAAGGTATGCCCCCCCCCCCACTCCAAACTGACTTCTGTGGCCTGACCTCCATTAATGTAAGTCAGTCGAGACAAGGAACTTAATGGGGCTTCATGTTAGAAAATTACTACCCCCCGCCTTTCCGCTTGGTATATATCCCAGGTCTTTTCTATTTCAAATCCATTGTAATTGATATTCAATCAATGCATTTTGATTCTCCTCATGAACCCTAGGGTTGAGTCGGGGTGGGTTTTCAGGCATTGCTAGCCGCAGAACTAATCTTGAGTTCTGGGAATCACTTTCGTGGAATTCAGTAAGTGGCGTCATTTTTAATCTGACATTCCTTGATAAGCTGAAGTGCTGAATTTAAATTCACGTGAATCCTGATATCTTCTTTGTATTAGCGTCAGTCGTATTAGTAATCTGCTGGGGCTTTTGGAAGCCGCAGCGATAATCACTTTTCACTCTATTGATTTGGCCCCGGGGTCCATTCTCTAATTTTGTACTCCTATTCCTAATTCAAGAGGAGGACAGCTATCTTCGTTTTGCAAATTTGCATGCTGTTCAATGTGATACACATTACTATTCAAATTACGCGTTTTCATCTACCGCCTTGTTCTAGAGGTTGAATGTGAGGAATGAGGATTTCTGGCTTAGCCAGATCAAGAACCATTTTGTGACTCTGCTTGAGTGAAATCCAGATTTCCTTGACAAGTTGAAGAGCTGAATTTAAATTCATGCAAAACTAAATATCTAGACAGTCATAAAGATCACTCGTCTTAGTGATCTGGCACAGCATCTGAAGCTTTAACAAGGAACTATTCGCACCTATTCTTGATTTCTCCAGTGGATCACGTGTTGCTTATTTTCTTTACATTCTGTACAGGATATGTAGCAGCAACATGCCTTGTAAAATTCCTTGACTTTTAGGTGCTGAAACCTCTGATGCGAACAAGCTGTCAGGTTTGCTAAATTTTGGTCTAAAACATTGACCGTAGAATTTCATAGCACCACCATAAGATAAAAAGTATATGTATGCAGTAAGACTGATGACTTGTGAATTAGCTAGACAAGTACTTAGATCTTTGTGCAATCAGGCTTCTTAAGTCGTAAACCTTGATCACTAACAGTTTATAATTCTACTTTAGGTTACTGCGTGCATGGCATAGGGAAATGTTACAATCTAATAACTTAACTATTGAGACTGCCATTTATAGACTTCTTATACTGTATCGACAAATAGCCCTTATTCAATTCTGTAATGTCTTGCTAGAGAAGAAGAATTCACTTTGTAATAGCATAGAACAAAACGGTTCAATTTTGTCGTATATCATGAGCAACATCGTTATTCCCTTGCTTTGTTTTGTTGATGTTTTTCGTTATTTATGTCTTCTTTGTCGTATTCTGTCGCTCCTTTCCATCTATAATTCTCTCTGCTTTGAATAAGCCAAGACATGTCTATTCCTAATCATTCATGGTTATACTAAACAATTGAATCTCTTACTTGTAGTCTCCTTGTATGTGACATACAAAATACAAATGGTCCTTATTCTGTTCTTTGTTGTCTCATGGGGAAGATTTTACTTTGTTGTAACATGAAATAAAAGGAACTTTTCAATTAGATTGTAAGTTGTGATTGACACCTTTTTCCCTGTTTTCTGTATTATTAATTTTTTCATAAGTTATGTCTTATTCATCATATCCTGTCGCTCCTTTTCATGGATATTTGTCTTTATATAAATGGGACAAGTTGTGTGTATACCTAATCAATCTTGTTTATTATATAATTGAGCCTCCACTTTGTTGTCTCATTGTACTGTATAGACAAATTGCCCTTATTCACTAGGGTAGAAGAATTACTTTGCAATAACATCAAAAATGGTTTTCAATTAGATAATCAGTTGTGATTGGCATCTTTCTCCTCTTGCTTCAAATGGGCTAAAATGTGTGTATCCCTACTCATTCATGCTTATAATATATAATGAGTCTGCAAAGTCTCCTTATATAGAAACAAATGGCCTCTATTCTTCATTGTCTCACTGGGGAAGAACAATCCTCTCTGTTATTATGGCATAATATAAAGAGAAATTGTCGATTAGATAGTCCAAATTGACACCTTTCTCACTTGCTCTGTTTTTTAATTTTTTCTGGTTATTCGTGTCTTATTTTTCATATTATATCTTACCTTTTCATGCATACTTGTCTTTGCTGGAATGAGCCAGCATGTATTGTTATATCTTTAATGCCCATCTTTTCCTCAGACAATAACTTCACTTTTGGGTCTCCCCGCTGTTCCATCTCCCTCTTAGTAAATATATATATCAAGTTCATGAAGTTGATAACTTCATAGTGCATGAGAATAACAAAATGGCCAAGGAGCATAGTTGCATTGATCAAGGTGATCTGTGCAAATTAATAACTCCAACAGTTGGCACTGCTTTGGAAGGAACTGATGGAGCCTATAAGAGCAGTGGGGCTAAACAGGCCCTGTACAAGGGCCCAGGTTTGTGTGATTGGAGGGCGTGTGGATCCTAATACAGTTTTTCAGGTAGGGTTGTGTGATGAAGGAGGAAGGCAATGAAGATGGTGATTTTGTTAGGGAGGGTGCCTGGTCTGTTGAGTGCCAGATTGAGTTGGAGGAAGGAGGCTTCATCATTATCTTTTCTGTTTGAGTGTGTTCAGTTATTAGTGAGTTTAAGTGTGTTGAGCATTTTTCTTTTCTTTCCAGTTGCTTGTTTCCATTTTGTGTGAGAAATTTCTACTGTAATTTCTCTTCCCACTGAAGGGGAGATTATTTCTAGTATTAATATAGTATCAGTATTTTCATAGATTAATCATTAGATTTATTTTTTGTCAATTTCATATTTGGTTTCTTGGGTTCCATCAGGAACCTTCTATTGTCAACTATTTTTTATGTAAATGAATTTAACTACATAGAAGTGTGCCTTTTTTTCTAACGCCTATTCTTGACTATCCCATCTGTAATTTTGGCTATTTTATTTCTGCTGAATTTAAATGTGTTGTGCTTTTCGGTGTACAATGGATGGAATATCATTGGGACATCTTGTGTGTGGTTCTAGGCTTTTTTCAGGCAAGAGATATAAGTTCCAGTATCTGTGGCAATGGAAGATCACCAAGGAAATTTGTCACCTTCATCCTCTTCCTCCTCCTCTTCATCTTCTTCCTCCTCACCCAACCGACAGCCTATGTCAATTGATGAGGAGCTCTGGCAGATGGCTGAAGAAAGGGCCCAGGAGATACTGTATATAATTCAGCCAAATATAGTTTCCGAGATGAACAGAAAGGAAGTTGCTGAGTATGTTCAGAGTCTGATTAGAGGTTGCTACGGTGCAGAGGTTTGAATTTCTTTTAGTGTATTTGTTAATATATTTTTGGAGTATATTTCCCTAATTTTGTTATTTTATTATCTCCTTTTAATAACACTGCTGTCTTGGCCTCATAATTTATTGGGTGTTTTCCTAGTGGTTGCTGTTCTAAATGATTTGGATGTATGAACTATGACATTTCTGTCTTTTTCTCATAACTTGTTTTCCTAAAGGTCACCGCTCTATATGATTTGGATGTGCAAATCTATTTTATCATATGCAATGAATGTTCCTTGATTTTCAGTTACGGAGGTGATTGAAGTTCTTGTCTTTTTGGTTTCATTGTATCTTCCTTTCCTTTTCAGTGCAGTTAGATTCTGATATGATTTCATCATGGTTATGCAGGTCTTCCCATTTGGCTCAGTCCCACTAAAAACCTATCTTCCTGATGGGGATATTGACTTGACTACTCTCTGTCAAGAGAACGAAGAGGAGGATTTAGCTAAAGCTGTATGCAATATACTTGAAAGTTTAGAGGACTCTGAATACCAAGTAAAAGACATACAATATATACGTGCACAGGTTTAAAGTCAAATTGTCTAACTCAAATATCAAAATCACCTTTCCATTTTTGTCTTGATTTTTTGAAATATTTTTTTATCCTAGCTCGTGTGGTTTATCATGGGGCAGAGGCTCAAATGGATATTGTTTCCAGTAGAACATCAGTGAGAGAAGATTCTTATGTTAATCTAGAATACATAGTATCACCATAGTTCATGCTGTTGCTGAGTTTGAATGGATAGCCTGTAGAAATGCTGTCAGGACAAAGAAGTATTTGAAAACCACTGTGACCTTACAAGATGTCTCGGACTTAAATTTCTTCCAAGGCATTTTCCTAGCTATGATGTTAGTGGAGTCCTGTTAAAGACTGAAGTTGCTGCTACCATATTGAGTATTGAATGACGAGGAATCTGACAATAGTGACTTCTCATGAATGAAAAGTTCAAATAACAAAGGGCTTAGGCCTGTTGGATAAGTCCCTTATAGTTTCTCATTTGGTATTGATTACCTTTGCATACCATTGCTACTGAACCTTTTTCTCAAATTTGTTTTTATATTACATCCTGCATGAAAGAGTTTCTCCCTTGCCATTGTTGCTTCTTTTTTTGAAACCAAAATACTTGCCACTCTCTTTGTTTTCCATGAAAAAGAATTTCTAATGTTTGTCCCTCAACTTTATCACATTTCACTTATTGATTTTTGGGTGATGTATTCCAGGTCCAAGTCGTGAAATGCACTGTGAAAAATATAGCTGTTGACATCTCATTTAATCAGATTGCAGGGCTTAGCACTCTCTGTTTTCTGGAGCAGGTATAATCTTATCAATCACAGTGAACTCTTACAACCAATACTTGTTCTGTTTGTTGTAGACGTAAATTTCTAGTATTTCTTGGATCTGTACGCTTGAATTTCATTCATATGCAGTGCTACAAACCCTAAAAACATATAGCGTGTATGTAGAAAGATGCAGGGTACCTTTCCCATATTTGTGAAATGAATATGAAATTTAACGCCATATAAGAATTTGACTTGTATTAAGCTTCTGTATTTGTCTTGCTTTCCCTCCCATTCTGTATCAATTCAAATTGCTATTTTGGCCTTTGTTGCCTCCTGCGGAGAATTACATAAAATAACTACTTTTATTTTCATTTTCTTGGGTCGTTTTCTTTGCCCAATGTTGTGTTTGCCCCATCCCTTGGCTTTATAAATGAGTGAAGCTTTTAGTTCTCTCTGTCCAATACATTTGATCAATATTATCTAATGCTGCCCTTTGAAACAAAAAATTCAGGTTGATGAACTTGTTGGGAGAAACCATCTTTTCAAACGTGGCATTATTTTGATCAAAGCCTGGTGCTATTATGAGAGCCGAATTCTTGGAGCACACCATGGCCTGATGTCAACATATGCAGTTGAAACATTAGTCTTGTATATTATGAATCTTTTTCATTTATCTGTTCGTGGTCCTTTAGAGGTGAGCCTTTCTCTGATTTTCTATGCATCATTTTTCCAATATGCTTCCAAATTTGCATGTTGTTCACATCTACAAGAGGAAACCACTGAAGTGCTATTACTAGCAGGTCCTGTATAAATTCTTGGACTACTATAGCTCATTTGATTGGGACAGCTATTGTCTGAGTATAAATGGTCCAGTAACCATATCTTCGCTTCCAGAAATTGTTGGTGAGTGTTTTTCAATTGCATGATTTTATTGGAATGCTTATTTACAATTCAGTGCCTCATAGAAGATAAGCCGTTCTCCTTTGTCTGCTGCAGAGACACCAGATTGTGATTGGGATGACCTGCTGCTCAGTAAGGAGTTTCTGCAAAATTGCAGAGATATATTCTCTGTTCCAGCAAGGGCGTGTGAAACTGCAGCTCCGGAATTTCCGATTAAGCATTTGAACATTATAGATCCTCTAAGAAGCAACAACAATCTGGGGCGTAGCGTCAGCAGAGGTAATCGTACCAACTAAAGGAGAAATTAATGAAAATTATTCATTCAGTTGGAAAGTATAGCTAATATTAGAAAGTAATATTAGAAAGTATCAGGAAGTTCATTCCAATATTGAACGTTTTGAACTGTAGCAGCATATTACTACAGAATTGTTGCAACCCCTCCCCCCTTTTTCTTTATTAAATGCATGGTCTAGTGATGACCGTAGGTTTATATGTATTGGCATATTTACATGATTACATTAAGGCTAGTTATCTGAGACTGACTAGTTATTTCCAACCTTTAGAGTTTACTCTCTCCGTTTCTACATATAAAGGGAAAAAAAAAAAAACTGTATCACATAATTTGAGAAAGTCAATTAACTATAATAATTATGTCTAAAAATAAAAAAATTGGACTAAAATTTCCTGTGTTAATCATCATAAATATGCATGAATTATTTATTGTTAATGTCAACTATGAGGGGTGATTTAAGAAATGTGTAATAAATGCTTATTAAAATAGGTGATTTTGCTTATAAAAAAATACAAGTGAAAAGTGGTGGTTTTTCTAACAATAAAAAATGGAGGGAGTGTACCTGTTGAGGCTATAAAAATTCCCTCCGCCTAGTTGCTTATTGTTAACTTGTTGCTGGCAGGAAATTTCCATCGAATAAGGTTTGCTCTTTCCTTTGGTGCTCGAAAGCTTAGGGAAATCCTTACACTTCCTGGAGAAAGCTTGGGTGCAGCTCTTGAGAAGTTTTTCATGAACACTCTAGATAGAAATGGGAAAGGACAAAGACCAGATGTTCCTGTTCCTGTTCCTGCATTTGGAACTGGGAGATCTGAAGAGTCCGTCCTCGGTGGAGATTATCGCAGTTACTATGGTTGCCTACAATATAGTCAATTATATCACAATTATAGCATTCCATTTGCTGCCCATCAAATTTTACCATCATCACCTTCTCAAGTTGATGTTGCCCATCAAATTTTTCCATCTTCACCCTCTCAAGTTGATGTCCATGCATTGTCAAGCCAGCCGAGTTGGAGTCTGATTTACCAATTGGGTAACGATTTATACGTACCCATGCAGACATTCTACCATCCAAATGCTTCACAACAATTTGAAGCAACTTTCGGTGTTGAAGAGAAGGGGAAGTCTCGAGGAACAGGCACATACATACCTGACATGGTATTTTTTTTTTTTTTTCTTCTTCTTTCCGTTTTGGTATTTATTCTCTTCGCTTGGCTTTACCTATAATGTGGCCATGTTATCCAAAAAAAAAAAAGGGTTAGATCTTGCAGACTTATATACATTTTTTTTTTTTTAAATAGCTGCATACATATAATTCCTACTACAAGGATAAGCATATGAAAGTGTTCAGGCATAGAGGATCTGCTTCAGTGGATGCTAATATGCTGCCAAAATCGCATCAGAAGGAGGAACTATTGCAGATTCAGTCCGAGACAGAAATGGATCGCGATTCAAGGCCCTTCAAAGTCAAAACTGAAGAATTCCCTCTTCTTTCGGGCTTTCAAATGACCAGCTCCCCATCTGAAGCCCAAGGCTCTGTTCAGTTAAATCCTGACTGCGAGCAGCCCAGAAGTTCCTCTTCCTCACTGAATATTGAATTCGGAAAATACAGGTCTGCCAAACCACTGACAAAACGACCTTTGCCTGCAAAACAAGATAAGCCAGAATCTTCAGTTTCCAAAACTCTGGGCTCTTTGCTTGGTGTCCCAAAGATGGACATGAAGAAAGAGAATTCCTGAGGATATGAGTTGACAATCTCTAACCTGCAACTACAGTCATTTTGTAAGATTCTAGGATAACACCAAACAATAGCGAGTCCTAATGCGTTGCTTGTAATTCCGTATACTGTCTTCCAAACCAAACCTTGTTAGAATTGGAAGATGCTAGTGTTAGGTACTGAGAGTGTATTAGTCACATACATGTCAGCTGAGGAACCATCCTCTTGGATTGTTGAGATAGCCAATATATGCACATCTCCTCTCCGGTGGGAGAAGACAGGACTATTTCACTCGGGACCGTTTCGCATTTCTTTTCTTCTCAGAGTCCAAAGAAATTTGTACATGATTTCAACATATATAATAGCCAATCACCTAGAGTATATTGGGTTCCATGATTCCATCTTGTATGGTAGCCTATGTTGACAGCTAGTGGTTCATTTTTTCAATTTGCGTTGCAGCTGACTATTAGATGGAGAGGCTTCTTGGCTTATTGGTTTCCTTTTCTGCCATCCACTGTTGCCGACTCGTGTTTCTATTCGAACAGCCGAGACGGGTTTCAAAACATCTGTTCACTTTTCTTTCCTTGTTTTATAATACGTTTCATGTCGTTATTATTATTCGAATCTTTTATTTATTATTTTTAAACATATGAAGATAATGATATCTTCATTGTTAAAACTACAACTTTTTTAAAAAAAAATATTCTATATGGCGGCCAGAGGTGTGCAAAGAATTAGTACAATCGGGAAACGTTGAAAACTGGAACAGTGAAACACAGTAAACGAGTAACTGAAGATATAAAAATTGAACCAAACCAAATAAATCAAAATAATTTAAAAATTTAACCATAGCAAGCTGAAAAATCAAGAAAGCCCCATAACAATCAATCTATTACGACAGGTTTGCAGTTGAGAGGCTTGAAGGTTATCTTACATCACGAAAATTTCTTGCATTTAGTCTCACCATGAAGAGAACGTTATTCTACCAGACATTCGTCATTTTCATCATATACTCGATTCTTTCGGCTCAATATCGGTGGAACAAATTAGTGAATATGGTACTCCTATGTTTTCTTTTTCTCTCTTTTCTTTTCCTTTATTAATTTATGAATTGTAACTCCTATTAGCTTTAATTGATCAATTTGATCGTTTTATCCCAAAAAAAACAAAAACGACGACAACCCCAACTTGTCAACCAAATTCAATTCGATTTAGTTTCGCAACACGATGCCAAATTTGTACGAGGTTTGGCTATATAATCAAATCAACGTGTTCAACTGACAACTATTTATCTATCCAAGTATATTTATGTTTTTTAATTGTCTACCAAATCTGAGGCCAAAAAAAAAAAAGAATGAAAGTCAGATAATATGCTAGAACATTCCAATCTACCGTGACCACGGACCCAAAATAAATAGATAAATATGTAAGAGCTAGAAATAACATATATCAAGCCAACGATGATATTTTATCTCAGCGTTATGATCTAAGCATGGCCTTATTCGAGTATTTAAATATAGTGGCAACAGTTCCACTTGAAAAAGTATGTACATCGGACCAAGATATCACACAAGGATGACCCCACATCCAGGAACCAAAAACAAAAGCAATGAACACTCAGAGAAGTAGAGAATCCTTAATGGGTAAGACATGGTCGTCTTCTTCGATATCATCCAACTTTTTTGCGTTAAGTTGAACCAGCCAGACCCATGCATCCAAATTCCTAGGGTGGGTGAAGAATGAGCTATTCTTCGGAGTGAGACACAGTCAACGGAGTGAAAATGTACACGTGACAATCATGAATACCAACTCGAGCACTGAATGATGACACTGCATCCCTGGCTATTAACTTGTGCTGAAAGATAGTAAAGATGCCAAATAAAACTATTAAACTTAGTTGTACGGTGGTTTTGCAATGAATAATGAAAATCTCATTAATCAACCATTGGAATTTTGGATTGATCCGTTTTACTTTTACAAAAGTTCTGCAGAGCTTAGAAGCTTATCAAAATGCCAAAGATATCCCACAACTATAGAAAAATAAGAGTGGAGAAGAAAGGATGCGTGACATGCTGATTTTACCAGATATAAGCAATATTAAAAACAATAAGACATTGGTTAGCTTCTTTAAGTGTATAGTGAAAGCGTTGTAAGATAACATGAATCAATAGAAGCTCCTTGAGGCCAAGGATGCAAAAACAAGGTATAGAAAGACTACCTAGGGGCAATTATACGAAGCTAAGCTTGCTTACCTGCCACAAATCTCTGATAGAAACATGAATAGAATAATCAAGCCCAAGTAAATCCCATGAGGCTGTGATAGTGGAAACTTCTGAGCACCTATTCCAGAGAGCAACAACCAATCGGTTTCCAGACAGAGGGCCTGCCCAAACCTGCACGGAACATGTCTAGATAAAGAGCCAGTATAGCATATGCTAGCAGCTTTTTTAACTCCTACCTCCTTATAGCAGTCATCGAACATTTTACGTTAACTAGCATATAGGCACATGCCATAATACAGATATTCCCGGCCTAAAAATCAAACATCAAACTGGTCCATCACAGTTATCTAGGAATTCTCAATCCATCCATTTTAAGGGAGCGTCTGAGAAGCTTCATAGTCTAATCATTAGTTAACTGAAATCCATATTAATCCACCTACAAGATGTGAACTCCTTGATCCAGATGGACACCATTTGAACAATTAATTATCGTGATCACAATAAGAAGAAATGAGGATAAAATACCCCAGGCGTCATCATATAAATGCAATAAGAAATGGTGCAAAGAGACGACCTGACTGCAACCATCAATTCCAGCAACATGAACTTTCCTTCCCTGGACTCCAAGTGGATCTGCATAGAGACATAATACCAATACCTATTACAAATTTCTGAATTAGATAAAGGATAAAAATGTAAAGAAACAATATAACCAGCAAAAAAGATTAAGAAGCATTACATAAAATGTGATAGCTCAGAGAGGGGAAGGAATTGTTGCTACCTTGGTTTATGGCAATAACTTCTTTATTGCTCAAAATCTCAAATGTTTCAGCAGTCATATTTCTTACATCACAGCCAATTAACAAGGGAGCCTGCATGCACAAGTTCAACATTTTGACTTACTGAAAGAAATAGCTATAGCTTTTGACGATTGCAAGTGTCTTGATGACAAGTGATGGCCACAAATAACAAAGGTAACGGATTACCTTCATGTCACAGATAAACTAATTTATATATTCAAACAGGTCAGATCATAACGAAAATGTTACCCAGCAGTAAACTTTCCCACCCACGCTGACATGCAACATCACTAGCTAATTAGCAGGCACCAAGTGGAGAATAAAAAGCCATTTGGTCATACATACCAGTCCACATAAAAAGCAATTGAAGAAAAGATGGGGAGGGGGAAGGAAAAAGAACACTAGGACTTAAAAGCAAGACCTTCATTAGTGCCCAGATGCTAAAATGACCACGATATTCTGGGTAAGTCATGCCACCATTGCCAACTTCCAGCATATCTGGGTCTGTCCAAGAAATATAACAAGCAGAATAAACAAGAATGGTTCAGGTATCTACTGGTTCACGGAAACTAATATAGAAAAATACAAAAATTTTACCATTCCACCCTCCGGGACCAGCATAAGCCGCCCACTTGTTATTTAGATCAGCAATAGTTGTCATGCTGAACAAGAAAACCGACATTTATCAGTATACAGCCACCTTTTCAGAAAATTTTGATCTTGAGCTATAGTTTTCTATGTTTGGAACATGAATAATAACAGCTTATATGTTAAGTCCAAAGACAATGCTCCTTATTGATATAAGATTGAGATATAAAATTGGCATGCATGTGCCCCAATCCCAGAATAAAGAAGAAAAAGTATCATTTATCAAATAAATACAGCCTTTTAATGTGAAAGCAACAAACATTTATATTGGTCAACCTGAGCTTTGTTGATAGATTTAGCAAAATACTGTATTCCACATTAAACAAAAAATGCAACACCAGCTCAATGGTAGTGCTTTGCCATCACTTAACACAACCCTCACAACTGATCAATATTCTCCCTGGCTTTCTCAAGGCCCTATTCCATCCCTCTAACACAATCTTGACTGCATGTGTCCATAATCCTCTCAGATCAATTGGCTCTCATTCCAAGACTCTAGGCACGACAAAGACTCTCGAGGGAAATCTTTATTGCATAAGAAATGATTCAATAAAGTGCATTTAACTTCCGCTAATATACACACCAGTTAGAGTAAGCAGAACTGTAATTAAAACCTAATATATCAACCTCCTTGTTCCCTCTCTTATTCCCTCTACTAACAGACGTCACTGACTCTTTTTATCTCCACCTTATTACAGGTATCACTACTCAATAAATGAAAATCCGAACAATCTTTTTCACATGGATAGCAAACCTTACTGCACATGGCATTAAATCATTATTTGGAATTCGTAAAATTCATACTCCAGAAAACGCAGAATCCCAAATTACTACTCATATTTTGATCATACAGCCAAAGTGATTAAAATAAGATGTATGAAAATGAAAGAAGAACTATTCCCATGATAATTTAAAATTAGATTAAAGAGTATTTCCATCCCTAAACCATTTCGCAAGGAGCACTATCCTAAACTAATTATTGAGCAATGTTGCCCCTCAAATGTCAAAATCATTGCAATATTTCCACTTGACTAGCGAAACATCGTTAACTGCTAAATTCAATTGAATTTACATTAAAGAGCATTTTTCCCCCTAATGTGGAGCAATTGGTACCTTTGTTTTAGGGAAAACACAACTATTAGTCCCTATAGTTTTATGATGTTTTACTTTTTTTTTTTTTTTTGGCTCCAAGTCTCTATAGTTTTTCTAATCTACAATGTTAGTCCCTCTATTTTCAAATATGCTCAAAGGGATGATGATGTGACACTAACAATGTTAAATTATCTTATGTGTAACAAATGTTGTTAAATCTTGTGCTGAATGTTAAAATAAGAAAGAAAAAGATAAAGCAATCACAAAATATAGAGTAACAAAGATCAACTGGAAGAATAGAAGACTATACCTGACTACATGAAGACAAAATAAACTCCAATATCAGCATTTAAAAAAAAAACAAAAACAAAACAACCAATGACTTCAAAATCAGGAAGAAAAAATGGACGAGTTCAAAGTCTATAAAAAACAAATAAAATAAAATCTAACCTTTATTTGACACGCAGTAAAATGATGTTAGTTATATGTCAGATAATTTGACACCATTAATGCTATATCATCATCCCTCTGAACATATTTGAAAATAGAGGGACTAACATTATATAGGCAGGAAAAACTATAAGGACTAGGAGCAATGAAAAAAAGTACAAGGACCAATAACAAAACACGATAAAATTATATGGATCAATAATTATATTTTTCCAAAAAAACCTATGATAATGTGGACAGATATAACTATGAAATTGTCAATTGACTGGTGATTATACGCCTATCATAACTAGCTATAGGATTAGCAAACTTTTTTTAGCAATGAACATCTATATAACTTATAATAGTGTAGATAGATATAACTTGTTTCATTACAATTAGTTGATCATCAATACATAAAGACCTTTTCACCAATGAATTCTTAGCTAACAAACCATGTGACACCCTAAAAATGATGAGGAATGTTTTGATTGAAGAAATGGGGATGCCAATTGCTCCACATAATTGAATGTGAAGGTGCCAATTACTCCTCATGAATATTTTAGAAGCAAAAATTCTCTTTAACCCCAAGTCAACATGAAGTTAACAGTCAACACCAATATCCTTTAGTCCAGGGACAGCATTGCAACAATTTTGACTCTTAAAAGGTGACATTAATCCCATAAATAATTTAGGATATGCAATGCTCCTCGTGAAATAGCCCAAGGGCAAAAATGCTTGTAACCCAAAAGGCCAAAATTCAGTATTACATGGGAATAATAGCTAGGAAGGGGAGGTTAGTTTACGTGATATTAGTACATACAGAACTCTCTCCTATTAGTATAAATAGATAGGTACGGTATTGTAATAGGTGGCTGATGATTGAACACACTTGTTTTATGTTCAAATGTACCGCCTAGTAATTCCAATATCACATTTTCCCCATGTATTTCATTGGCATACTACTAGATCGCCATTTGATAAAAATCAATCCCAATAATATGATTTAAAAGACAGCAAACAAGAGAATCCAGCTAACAACCAAGATAATTTGTTAAACGCAATTATTTAAACTTCTAAAGTGTCTTTAGTCGAAACTAAATTTCTTGAAGTAACTGGCCAGCCCATAATGTTTATTGCATCACCTATTAGTCAAAATCCTGAATTTTCACCTGACCCATGAATCACTGATGTCATCAGTTGTGCGCCAACTGTTCCCAACCTTGCCTGCCCATAAAGCAGGGTCATCAACGCCCCTGTAAAACATAAAAATGATGCATGAAAAATCATCTGTCAAACCAACAAATCTCAAACAATAGAACAGACAAAAATGAATACCATTCACAGATTGAATAGAAAATTGTACGTCCAGATGCATTCAGAGCATCACACATCAGTGGGTATCTGGAAACATATTACAATATTGTATCAGTTCACATGTACTAGGCATCACTGCAGCGGCAACAACCTCAGATCATAGATAAGATACCGTTTTTCTGGCGGGATACCCAGATTGTAGCAGTTGTCATACTTCAAATAATCTATATCCTGATAAAACAAGTGAACAAAGTAAATCAATGACGCAATGGTGGAAAATATAGCCAGAAGAGTGGCTCCAAAAGCACCTTAAGATATGTTCTCAAGATTAGTCTGTCTTTATAGCGTTAAACAACCCTTTATGAACATCAAGTGGTTACAATAATTTTGAGGAATGATTTGGTTACTTGTTTATGACATTCTAAAGCAACGCTGTGATTCTGATTGTGTCACCTAATGTAAGTACATGTATGTATAGGACAACACAAAACCAACCTCTGGATGCATGACACCCAAACCTGAAATGGTCCAAATTTGGGCCTCATGATGATTCTGATCACAGTTTCAAAGTTCAAACTCAACCACCAACTATTGGTTTTCTTTCACACACACACACACGATTCCCTAAAAGTTATGTGATGATGTAAAACTAACTTATTTATATAGGTTGTAATTTGCTATTATAAAATGAGATAATGGTAACTAACCCAAGAGGCAAACGTGTCTGCATCATCAACTTCATGGAAAAGTGATCCTGGTCGGACTTGACATGTAAATACCCTAACATCAAGAATAAAAAAATTGAGGGACTAGGAGTCAGTTTAACACATTCAATATGTTCAATACAAGCATGTTTAATTCTGGAATGGATTTTTCAAACTTCCGGCTTGATGTCACCATATCATTCATCATACCCTGCATCAGAATATATACCAAGCTTGAGCCCCCTTTTATGTACATAATCTGCAAGGGCTTTGATTCCTGATGGAAAAGTCTTAGGATCAGCAACCAGTTGACCCTGCAGAACCAAACAAAACAAAGTAAGAAGTATACAAATGCTGGCTGAGACCAGCTTTATCACTGTAGAGCCAAGTAATCTGATGGGCCCATGGCTGGGGACCCAACTAACTCACACTTGTGGTATTCTGAAATATTCCTAGAAGGGAAAGGGATGAGGTGGTGGGAAGGGAAAATCATGGAATGAACATCATCAACTAGCCCAGTCAAGCTGTTTGAAAGGTGATGACTGGTGACGTAGAAGAGAGGGTAAGAGTTTGTTGGAGGAAATATTATGGTGTTCTAAGGCTGGAGACGGAGAGTGAAGAGTCATAGAACCATTGCTTGAAGATATCCTAACCTCTCGAGCAAGGGAAACCTATATATACAACTCCATCTGTTTCTTTCGCACTTTTCTCTGTAAACAGTACTTTTATGATTCATTTCTGCCGTGTTCCACAGCTCTACCTATTTCACTGAAACAATAGAGAAGTTTTGCTGTTTTTTTTACTTAAATAATATCGAAATTATCCAAACGTTCTATCAGAATCTTTCATTTACATGGAAGATGGACAACTTGTATACTTGCTTTGCTGCCTTATTATCCATCAAGAACTACCACTACATATGCAAGAGTATAATGAAATATCCCCTGCTCCCATCTTCCAAGGCCTAGGGACTCCTATAAGTGTTTAAAAAATGTAAAGAAAGTACAACCTCCTAAAGATAAACAAATACTACAATTCAATAGTTATATCAATTCTGATGTTCATCACATTATCAAGATGTATTAAATGCCAAATGGTATAATTATTTAAACACTAAATTGAAAGAAAAACATTATATCATAAAAATAAGGATGATGGTCCAAAAGATTGTTCCTGCTGATTTAATGTAAAGTGAAAGCAACATGATTCAGCTGACCTTTGAATTTCTTGTTGCAGAAGACCAACAATCATCTGCAATTAACAATATTAAAATTAGTCCAACATCAACAAATAATGTTTCATTAAGGGAAGCTAGAAGAGTACCTATGTTGACGTAGACATAACCTAAATCAGCCAAACCCGTTGATACAAGTGCATCAGCTGGATGGAAAATATGCATATCAGTAAAGTTGGATGTGAACTGGTGAGGGTAAAAACAAAATTATACCATCACTCCATCAGTGAGATAAAATATCACACATCATCTTACTCAATAACACCACTGAATTGTTTGATAAAAGGATGGTTTATTAAAACAGAGCTTTTATTTGCGAGTGTTTCTAGGTTTTCAAAAAATGCAAATAAATTGAAATAAATAAGCACCTCTTTAGTCAGCAATGCCATTGGAAACTGTAGGAGATCCCACGGAAACATTCTCACAAAATATGTGAATCACAAGATTTATGCTTTAATTGAACAGTCCAAGCAAAGATAGGGGCACGTAAAAGGGGAGAAAGAAAGCCGGCAGGCCCTATTCAGATCTGATAAGAAATTTATGACTCAATGAGTGCAGTGCACGAATGTTTGTGCACATAATATGTAATTTTAGATATCATGTACAACCATGATATGTACGCGCGATGTGTAAATAAACTAGCAACAGTTAGCATACTAAATACATCTTGAAGATCTAGTAAACTTCAAATTGCAAATAACCCAATGCATAGCAATACAACTCAGACAGGAAGAAATCAACAGTTTCCAAAAATGACACGAACTAATGAATTTCAGATCTCGAATGAAAGCACTATATGAAATTTTCACCCACTGGCATGCAAAAATCACAATGAAAGTTGATGAGATTAACGAAAAAAATTTTCATAAGTAATCACTGTTTACATCACTTTATGAAAAATAATCAGATTTTTCCAGTATATTGAACAATATTTTTTAATTTAGATTCCTGAAGACCAAGCACTAATATATTTTATGATTCACTAATATCTGTAACTTTTCCTTGATTTTGAACAGCTAAGTGGATCCATTTGTAATTGGTTACACACACACATGGATTTTAACAGAATCAAATATGGTTTAGACTTGAGTCCACGAACTGCCGCGTCTATATATGCATATATATTAGTCCCAGGCTCATTACTGCAACTTTACAGCCATCGTGTTTCCTTCAAGTTTTGAATCAGCTCAAAAGATTTCGACTGCTTGTGAAACACCAAAATCCCTCATGTATACAGAAAATTCATCAAGGAAATGGAAACAATGTCTCCATAACCTGTTGCATGGAGGCAAAAAAAAATAAAAAATACCCGTTTCCCTGATGACTGTTTCATTGATATTGCAAGCGAAGAAGTTCCAGCTATTCCATCTACAAAAGAAAAAATCACGTCACATAAGTCATCAATCATCATAACAGACCCGTATTGACATTTCTCCAACTAAAACAAAAAACTATATTACAACTTACAAGAAACATCAGTCTACAACCTCATTTCTACAACTTAAGGCCACAACACATGCATCAATTCCAACGGCCACAGCCTCTTAACAAATTCGTAGTCATACACCACAACGAATGCCTACTTACTATATGCATGCGGGTCTTTGCTCATTGGTTTGTTACAACCATGAAAATGCCAAAAAGAATGAGAAAAAGGAAAGAAAACCTAATCAATATTTTCAATTAATGGCAATGATCCAGAGAAAACCTTCGAGACTTCGACTTGAGAATAGAAAGCACAGGGAAGAAGGAGAAAGAGTGAGAAACGAACCCCATCTGAGGCGTCCGACCCAAACCGTTGTTAAGCTGAAGTATACCATACTTGGAAGAGTCGTAAATGGAGTGAAAGTCAGAGCTGAAGATAGATTTCTCCTGGGTCTGCAAGAGAGGAGCCACACGCGCAGCAATTGAAACAGAGGAAGCACAGGGGAAGAAGAAGAAAATAAGCAGACGCGCACAAACAGAGTAGCTCTGCTTCTGCTTCGCCATGGATGAAATTCACCTAACCTTCTCTATCCACTCTTCAGACAAGCATTGAGATCAAAGAAGTGTCAAGTATGCATAAACGTGTTGGAAGCAAGAAGCAAGCGAGGACCGAATCCAGATAAAATATTATAATATCCCTGATGATCCTTTTCTCTCGTGACAGGTCATCTGCATCTTCCTTTTCAGTGGGAGAATCGCACTGCAGGTTGACAAAAAATTGCAGTTTGGACCCAAAAAAATTTGATAATGCACATCCAACTCAAAAGCCTTTGCTATAATTTTTTTTAAAAATGAAAGTATAATTTTTTTTTTTGTATGATTTGAAAACTTAAGACATATGTAAAACCCTCATCCACAAAACATAACATGATATTCATGAATTATTAACATAATTTTCATACATGTCTAATTAATTTATAGTTAAAACATACAAGTCACATGTTGATATAAAATTCATAGGTCCACAACATGATATTTATAAATTCTCAATTTAATGTCTATATGTGTCTAATTGATTTAATTAAAATATACAAGTCAAGCAAGGTATGCATAGCACAATTTACATTGAATCACAATACAATATTTCTAAATTTTTAACATAATATTCATGCTTATCTACATATAAACATTCAATTGAAAATGCATGAATATCATATTAGACATTCATGGACATTATATTATATATTATCCGCATCACTTGTACATTTTATTAAACATACTTATTAACAAGATATAAATGGATATTATATTAAAAATTTATAAACATTATGTTATGCACTTATAGATATTTTACTATACATATTCTGAGTTTTTAAATTATATAAGGGTAAAATTATACTTTTATTCTTAAGAAAAGTTATAACAAAAACACTTAAGTATATAGTGCATTATCAAAATTTTTTAAACTTATAGTGCAATTTTATTTTATTTTTTTAACTCCTGCAGTGCGATTTTCCCTTTATTCATGGGATGGATGTGGATGACAATAACCAAAAAAATACTTCAAAATATTGAAATAATAATTAAGTATTGCTTATCGGAAATGTAAATTCTTTCTAAACCTTTATGAACTGGCCTTTTTGTGAAATGACTATTTTACTCCTCTAAACAAATTTTCCAAAGCCCAATCATCCGAGCACAAAAATTGAGGCCATGTTTGATATATTAAAATTGTGAAAAGAGAAATAGAATTGGACATGAAATTTTTTGGTTGGCTTATTTGATATATCAGAATTACTTTTTTGAAGAAATCTGATTCCATCAAAATTGATAAAATCTAATTTCATTGTAAAGACCATGAAATCCACCAACTCAACATAAAAATGACTTATATGTCATTAAAAAAATAAAATAAAAAATATTTTAAACTTTTAAAAGTACATTTTTTATTTGTTGATTGTTAAGTTTTTCATTAAAAAATTAAAATAAAGAGTATTTTAATTTTTTATATTTTAAATATATATACTTATTAAAATTATATCATAATTCCATCTTCATACTAAACACACTTTTAAAATTCAATTCAATTTCGATTTTGATTTCAATTCTATTAAAAACACTCCGAGGCCAGAAGAAAAGAACCAAAACGGAAAATCAGATAACCAACATCCTCACGTTCAGCAATGATTTCATAGCGCATCTCAACACTGATTCATTTTTGTAAGAAAAACAAGGAGCTCATCTTGAAAGCAAAAGAGGAGATCTTGTTTTCATCATGATATCCAAATTCGCTCCATCCTCTTCCATTTTCCCATTTCGTAATGTCCGTCTTACGAAATCGTACTCCTCGATTCCAATTTCCCATTCTTCTCCTTTAAAGCATCATTACCATCATCTCTATGCAATGGAAACTAGAACGGCGTAGCCCTCCCCATACCAATAAACCCTAACTCAATATATTTTCAAACCAAAACCGTTACTCTCTGTGTGAAAGGAAATACGGAACAGAACTTTCATGAATATGGAGGAATTCATAAGATGGACGGGCCTCATCCTGATGAGAAGGTGATTGAGAATCCTGTCGGCGTTTCCAAAGGTATACCGGAATCAATGCTTCCATGAGAAGCATCGAAAGAATAGCAGGCAGTAATTCTTCTCTGCTGCCGTCGAAGACCATAGCCGTAGCCGTAGCCGTTCCTTTCTGCTTGCTGTTGTATTTCTTCTCGCCTTTCGTGCCTGTCGTTCTGCTCGCCCTCGATCTACTCTGTGTTCATGTTGGGCGCCGTTCGTTGCTCCGTTGAAGTCATTCACCGTCGCCGCCGTTCGCATCGTTGGAAGTTGATCTGCTGCTCGCTATTCCCACTCATCTTCGGTGACTTCTTTACTCTGATGCCGCATTGAATTACCTGATTCACTTTTGACTGGAGGAACAGCCGGCTGGTAGGAGTAAGAGTTTCATCAGGGGGTCGACCTCATGAGAGAAGCAACAGTACTTTGTAACTCAGATGAACAGTTCAGACCTGCAAATAGTCTCAAGAGATAAATGGATGAGGGAGAAATAGTCTTTTTATATTAAAATTAATTGGCAAATAAGTCTCGAGAGATTAGAAAATAATTATTATATTTCACTGTGCCTAATTATTATTTGGATATTTCGGGAAAATTTTCTGTCATTCTCTCTAGTACATAAATGTTTCTTGAAAAGAAATTAATTCTAAATAACTATTGCTTACGTATTTTTCCTTCAATCCGGTGAATTAATCAATGCATGATCGTGGCGAAGCACTACCAGTGCACAAAAGTTACTGCATTGATTCGTTTGCAGATGTAATTGATGCGAGCAAATTCTGGAACAGGCAAAAGAACAAGCAAAGAAGGAGAGAAGAGGAGATGAAGAGGAAGAAGAGAGAAGAGCTGGAACAAGAAATGTCAATCACAACATCGATATATGTCCTGGACTACAGCAAGCAAAAATACAAAGTGTATGGGGTGATACAAGTAAAAGACTAAATAACCCCTACTAAACTGAACATAAGGACATAACTACCCTTAGGGAAAATATGCTAACCCTTATCAGTAATGGTCGTCGCATTTTATTTCTTGGTTGCTATTATCATCCTCTTGTCTGTTACGAGTATTTTTAACATTGGAACTTTTGCTCCTCTTGTCATTTGAAAGTGGGAAAAATTGTTTATGCATGGGCTAAGTCATTGTCAAGAGTCCCACTAAAGATAAATGTATTTTGGTAGAAGAACATTATAAAGTTTCAAGATGATGAATTTAGGTCAGTTAAGTTCCTAACATTTTTTTAAAATAATTAAATGTAAATATTGTTTTAAATAATTATAAAATTTTAGGAATTCTAATTATATAAAACATCTAAATTTTAAATATAATCTTCAATTTGCAATTAGAATTTTTATTTACAACTATTTGAATTAATATTTATAATTTTTAAAAAAATTTGTTAAGATCTAAATGTCATAAATTTTTGTTATGAGACTTTATTATCATTCTTTCATATTTTAGATTTTCTCGTGCATGTCTTATTACTTATTAGTCAACTTATTTCTAAATGTAATGAATTAAGTGATCATGTGCACTGTGGATTGTTTTCGTTGGAGAGGAGAGAATCCTCCGCGCGGTGCATGATAGGGACCAGATTTAATATTTTTTTATTGTATATTTTTAAAATAAAAAATTATATCAATGGTAAAAAAATTAATAAATATGTTCACCTATTTAAAACAAGTCAAATTTAATGTGATGATTCACATTTAATATTAATTCTTTTATAAATTAATTATTTACATATATTCTAGATAGTGTAGATTTAATATTAAAAAATTTTATAATATTTATAAATTTGTAGTATTAGATGTGAACCATTTATATTAAATCTGTACAATCTAAACTAATGAACATATTTATTAAAAAAAATTACAATTTATACAATTTTTTTTGGAAAAAACATAAAATAAAAATTAAAAAACATTAAATTTGATGTGCCCCTCCTCAGCAGAGGTGTGGAGAAGGCTTCCCTGAAGGAGGGAAGTCAACTTATTTTCGTTGTGATGATTGGACATGATTTAACTAGATTTTTTTTTCTCAATAACAAAAATTAAGGTCATGATTTAACTAGACTTTTTCTTTCTCAATAACAAAAATTAACGTGGGTTGGACATAAAATTGAAACGCATAATCGTGAGAGCAACTTTTTTTTTATGTGATTTGAATATACAGTTACTATTTACATTCCAAATTACTGATTGTAAAAAGGTTATAGTTTAACTTTACCAAAAAAGACGTAATAGTTTAAAAATTTGGACCGTAAAACATTGATTATATAATTAAAATTCTAACGTGTAATTTGTTTAAGCGTTACATTTTTTTGACTTGGCTGTTATATCATTTATGTTTATATGTCGACCTTAACAATAAAGACAAAAACAAGTACGTGATTAGAGGGATTGCGATCGCGAGGGCTGGGAGCCTGAGAGTTGAGAGAGAGACAAAGTGGTGTCGGCTTGTATGAGCCCGACAGATCGTGCCAAGTTATAAGAAACTTCATTAGACTTTATTAGAAAACCTGAAGAAGAAACTTGAAACTTAAATCAGTTTCAGTCAAATGTGTCGTTTTATTACATTTCGTACCTATTTTTTGCATAAGACATGCCCCCAATAAGTGTTAAAAAGATTCTTTGATATGGAAGATTACATACCACCCCCAATAAATGTTAAAAAGTGTATCTGCAAAGTAATCAATAATCACAATCAGTTTTTGCTAAAATCACACCCTCTAGTATTGTTGAGATCTTTGGAATTATGAGAAGCCGTTTGGTTGCTGGAAACTAATCGAATGGAATAGATTAAAAAAAATAAAAGTAAAAATAAATTAAATTATCTCATCCCTCCTAATAAGAATAATAAAATTCAATAACACGTATTATAAATATGAGAATTATCACACTCATAATAAATTTCATGAATCATGACTCACAATTTTATAAATTAAATTATCATCTCCACTCTTGAATATAGTTGATCTATCTTCTTTATATATTTTAATTATTTTATTTTTATTTTAACTTTTTTAATTTATTCCATTTCTTTTTATTCCAGCAAGTAGATGGGCTTAAAAGGGTTTGGAACTGTACTACCATA